AGACTATAGGATACCCCAGAGTGAAGCAATTCCACTGAAGAAACTAATCAAGTGACTTAAAATTTTAAATGCAAATGGAACCAGTTATGTGGACTATCATGACATCACCGGCTACGCCTTACCAACAGCACAAACTGTGTTGTGACTCTTGCTTATGGTGGGATGTCAGAAGTCTCATGGTGGGGAAAACCAATATATCACAACAGTGGACTTTATACCCAATCTGAACAGTCAGTAACAAATTTGACCCATCACCCAGGATGCTAAAAACACTGTGAATCAGAACAGATCTGCCTCATCCTCCTGTTATTCCAGCACCTTCTGTATAAGGGAGGGACCAGCAGGACAGGAAAAAGAAAAGAGACAAGCAGGGTTTGCACTTCTATGCCCATGGGCCCATGGACAACTCACGGGCGAGCTGGCACTCCACACTGCTCAGCATGAATGGCGGTTGCTAGTCAACGAAGCAAATGAGCTTTGCTCTCCCCATTATCAGTGCGAGGGCCAGGAAGACAGGAGGTATTTTGTTTTCCTATAATCAATCCTTCAGCTCAAAAATCTCTACAATGTCAAATATGATGCACATATCTTTATTATAATAAGGGAAAACAACTTGCCACCAGAATGTAATGGCTTTCCATGGAGGAAAAGAGAAAAAACATGGGTGCTGTATTTCAGGTATCATAATGATCCCTCCTCCTCTATGTCAATCACGGTTACACAGACCTACACAACCTTCCGTAAACTACTGTATTTGTCTGAACTTTTACAAATGCTCCAAAGCAAGGCAAACTTGTTCCACTGTGTACCAATCTGACACACTTCATCAACACCTGATTTCTCGTAAGTAAACATTAAGAGTTGGGTACAAGCAAAAGTGAACAATTTACATTTGCTCCAATTTTATATCCACATGGTAACAAATTTTCTTTTTTATCATGAAACTAGAAACACAAAACAAATTCCACTACCACATCTACTTTTTGAATCCCCCAGCATGCTAAATTCTCTTATATTTCAAGAAAGGGAAATAATAAATACCGGGCAATCAACATCTCCTGCAACCTCTCTAACTTCTATGGGAGGCAAATAGTTTTATCTCCATCTTTTGGAGGAAACAATTTGTCCAAGAGTGTATCACACTCCTCATGGCTTGTCTCCTCACCTCCAGCATAGAGAAAACCTCCAGCAATGTCCATCCCAGGAAGGCCTAGATTTCTACAAGAATCTTGCTCCTATACAGGAAACTTGTGCCAAGAACAAGATGGCCATCCTCTAAGGCAAACTGCAGGCAATTCTTCCTGTTTAATTCTCTTATTTATGGAGATTAACCAAAATGAGAGACTTGCTCATTTCCTTCCTCTTTCTAAGATATGAGGTAAATAGAAAATAACCTTCCCAAAAACCTTCAGAAAAGGTTATCTAGGAAGAGTTCAACGCGTCTTGCCGACACGGATGACTATTAATAAAACATAAGGCAAGAGTCTGATTATGTACTTTTCTGTGGTTCAAAAAAAAAAAAAAAGAAAGAAAGAAAGAAAGAAAGAAAGAAAGAAAGCTGAGTATTTTTAGCGCTTTCCAGCCTAAAAAGATTTGACCAAAGGATCTTCTCTGTCTGGTTTTCTAAACATTCATCAAAATTGACCAAGGTTATAAGAGAAGGTAAATCACTTCCCTCCCAGAGAGCCTACGGTATAAACAAAGGGCACATTCCACACCGCCAGTCATCAGCAGTGGTCTGATCTGGATTCCCATCGCTCAGCCCCCTTATGACTTCACTTCTCTTCTGATTACAGCAAAGGGAGGAGAAATGTAGGAGACACCCAGGTTATAAAAGAGACAAAATGGCAGCACGCATTCTTCTAGACAAATATGGCTCAGAAAGCACCTCAGACTACATTCGGTCTTTGCAGATCACTCAAATGCCAGCTATCTCGGGGATTTCTCAATAGCTCTCAATAAAACTTCCCAAAAAGGCATAACTAATGCAGCCAAATGCTAATTCAAAACAATGCAGAAATAGGTGGAGTTTATTCCCCCCCTCAAGGTTTACTTTCTAAACATAAACCTGGTGAGAGAGGAACAAAAAGTTATTTGCATATGTAGGCAGTTTGATTTCCACCCAAATTTATGTTAGGACTATACATATTTGGTTAAGCTCATACTGAGAAAAGCCTGGTGCCAAACAAACTCTCAGAGAAATTTACAGATTTCTCTAAAATCAACCACTTGAGATCATGTTGATGGCCCTTTTTGAATGTTTCTCTATAAGGGTAATCTTGGACTAAAAAAAAAAAAGACAAAATCAAAGTTAATGTCATAAAACAAACCTGCATGGAAGAATGAGGTATTAGCACAGAAAAATGTCAAAAAGAGCAAGTCCTTTTCCCACTTTCTAAATGCGCTGAGAAGGGAAGACCACATTTCGTTCTCTGTGTGTGTGTGTGTATAGCAAATCATTATGTTATACCCCTGAAACTAATACAATGTTGCATATCAATTATTTTTCAAAGAAAAAAGGGACTGTACTTGACCAATCTATTCCAATATAGAATAAAAATAGTTCTTATTTTGCATTTCAAATTCTGCTGGACTTTTTTCCTACAAAGATGAAGAAAATATTCTTCCTTTATAGATGGAAGAGAAAATGGAACAAAAAATCAAGAATTTTCAGTGCCATATCACTGGAGGATTCTTCGATCCTCAACTACTTTCGGTATATTTCTAGGGAAAAGAGAAAAGAATGAACATTCTCAATTGAAGGGGCACCTGGGTGGTTCGTTGGTTAAGCGTCTGCCTTTGGCTCAGGTTGTGATCCTGAGGTCCTGGGATCAAGCCCCTTGTAAGACTTCCTGCTCAGCAGAGGAGTCTGCCTCTCCCTCTCTCCTCACCCTGCTTGTGCTCATTTGCTTGCTCTCTCTCTCCCAAATAAATAAAATCTTTAAAAAATACTTTAAATGAAACTATGGGTTTAACATCTCCTGCAACCTTTCTAACTTCTATGGGAGACAAGTAGTTTTACTCAGTTCTTCTGAGTAATAGTCTTGAACATTATTAGCAATAATAAACTCATCTATTAATATATAAAATCTTTGTTAAGCTTCTTAAAGCTAATTTTGATTGCTCTTCATATTGGTCACACAGGTTGCTGATAAACTAGATGCAGCCTATTATCGAACCCAATTTGTGTTCATCACCTGATTTTATAAGGAGTTGATTTTAGTGGAGACGCACATTTGTTGTCTTAAATATTTAAAAAAGAGAGGTGCCTGGATAGCTCAGTTTCCAGGTGCCTGGAAGAGCATGTGACTCTATCTCAGGTTGTGAGTTCAAGCCCCACATTGGCTGTGGAACCTAGTTTAAAAAAATTTTTTTAATTAAATATTTAAAAATGAGTGAACATGTTCCAGTTGAAAAATATTGTTAAACAATAAACCTAACATCCTGCACATAAAAATGCAAGGAATGGCCATGATCTGAATGATATTTAGGGTCACCTGCATATTCCACGGTCTATGACATAAGCTGCCCTTCCAAAGATTTACAAAGATAAACACTGCCCTCAAAATAAAAGCGAAGAGCTAAGAAAATCTTGTTTTGCACATACGGAAATGAACAGACACCAAATATTCAACTGTTAGTTTATAGAATTAATTTTCCATGCAAAAAAAAAATTTCAACTTTGTACACTTATGCACACTAGTGTACAGAAGTGTTGAATTCCTATATTGTATACACCTGAAACTTATATGATGCTGTATGTTAACTATACTGGAATTAAAATTAAAAACTTAATAAAAAAACTCAACTTAATTTTCAATATATACTACACTGTTTCCTGTTCCTCTCTGAAAGATGTTTTGAAAGTCAAATACATTTGCCTCTGAACTTCCACAGAAAAGAACAAAGATTTAAAAAATACGAAGTTAGAGTGTGATAAAACTTGCTCAGACTACACAAATTCCAAACCTGTAGGAATCCAGATGTTTGGAATTAACATCTGTCTCTGCAGCATGTTACCTAAGTACAAGCACTGTGATACCAGTATTTACATAGACATCCGAAGGAGACGGTATTCTTACCCAGTAAAGAACTGATAAAATTGTAAAGTGCTGCATATAATGTAAGGAAATGATGTAACCAACTCAGCACTGAAACAGTTCTTTCTTCCAGCAATAATGACCCATGTGGGCTGCCTTGTACTGTCTGGCACCCCCAGAATCTCCTAGAACCAATCCTGTTAAGAGAGCTCGGGTAAAGAAGGTTTTAGGGCTCTGGCACAGAGCCCAACTTGGCCAGCTTGAAGATCACATCCATAACTTTAATCTCAACTGTGCCAAGAAAGCACAAACCACACTTTGAAGTAATCATCTTGAGAGTCTTTGAAAATGCTCTGAACTTAGACATCTCCCTAAATCATACAGACTTCTTGCAACAATGAGTACATAAGCAAGCTTTTACTTCATTGGATCCATTCACATGAAAGCTTGGGATAAAACGACAATCAAAACTTCTCCATAGATTATCTTAAAAGCCATTTGTGGAGTCAACATCTTCTTACAAAGAATACTATTTAATGAGATAATAATGCAAGTATAAATAATAACCTCATGTGTAACATATGTTAGCAGTGTTAGGTCCAACTACGTGTACACACACACATTCCCTCTCTCTCTCTCCCCTACCCCTTACCCCTCCCCCCCAACCAGAGTCTCCCTTGCAGGTAATTTAAATGCCAAAACCACCAGTTCTTTGTCTTGGAAGAGATGCACTGCCTTTGGCAGTGTTTTCTTTTCTTTCTTTTTTTTTATGACAATAGATACAATAAATTATTTCCCAGAAGGTCAATTTCTGTTTTTGAAAAACATCTGAGTCACTAGAGATGAGAAATACTTTTATCTAAAAATGCACTACAGTTTCTAATCATCTCTACCTGACATCCCAGATACTGGGCTCTTCCACAGTGAGAGAACGTGGGCACTGGAACCCTGGTTACTTACTTGTTAAAAAAAGGTTCGATGAGTTTTGATCTAGCCGACACATGAATTTTTGGAGGACTAAGAAAAGAACCTAATGAAGAAAAGAAGCAGAGTATTATGTACAGCCAAGGAGACAAAGCCTAAAAGTTCAGACAACAATCTATGTAAATCAATAGCACAGTTCATCAGGATAAGGGGCACTCCTCCTAGTGGGCAAGAACCACACCAGATAAGTGTCGATGGGTCCTCCTTATGCACTCTCCACCCCTATTCCCAACTCTGACCTCCAAGCCTCCCATTTCTTCCTGGGTGAGTGGGCCCCAGGGAAATGGTAGACAGGCAAGATCCCCCCCCAAACACCCCCTCCCCAGATTACGATGTGTTTGCCAGAAACAGATATAGGGAGTACCTAGGTAGTTCGCCATGGAGATGAAGCACAGCCCTGTGATATAGGCATCATAGCCTGCCTCGTGGAGCTGTTCAGTAGCTGTGTTATAACTTGGAAATCCTTCTGCACTTTCTAAAGAGAAAAAAGAAAAAAGTTTTCCCAAGGATATCACAAATCATAAAGATGGGTAGTGTGCCCTACCAAATCCAAATTGCACTGGTATATGCTGTCTAGGATAGAAATATCCTAGATGAGCAGGAAAAGGCTATCTTCTTCTTAATTCTTTCCACATAAGACCTTGCAATGTGAGATAAAATGGTCACTGAAAATGAGGGCTTGGGTCTAGACTAGAGAAATGGCTCAAGTGACATCATTCAAGGCCCAGCTAGAGGCCTCCTCGCTGCACTCTGATGGGTGCTATTTACAGTCATGCATAACTTGCTCTATGAAGATGATCCCTCTTCCAACTGCTCTTGGAAGTCTCAAGGAACTTCTTCCTTGAGAAGGAACATTGGGACATAACAAGTATTTCAGTCATGACTCATAACAGCATGGATTTGTGCATCCCACTGTCTAAGTTTGAATCTATGTTCCACCATTCAACTGCTATGTGATATTGGGCAAGTCACTTCTGCTCTGGGCCTCCACTTTAGCAGAATGGAGTTGAAAACCAAACTTCCCTCATTCATGAGGATCAAATGAGCTAAGGCCAGGAAAGCTCTCCCATGGTGCCAGGTACATGGCAAATGCTCAGTTACTATTATCCATCAATACCTCAGGTAACCCTCCGAAAAGGCAAAAGACTCTAATCAATATTGGCAGGTCAATTCAACACTGCCCTGTGCTATGTTTTCAAGCTTAAGGATCTAAAGATGACGGCACAACTAACTCCAGTAAAAGATCAGAACTTGTTTTGGTGCTGCCCCTGGAACATGGGGACACTTTGTAGGAGAGACCATTTTATAACATGACTTTTTTTTTTAAGATTTTATTTACTTATTCATGAGACACAGAGAGAAAGGAAGACATAGGCAGAGGGAGAAATAGGCTCACTGCAGGGAGCCTGATGAGAGATTGATCCCAAGACCCTGGGATCACAACCTAAACCAAAGGCAAAAATAAACAAACAAACAAACAAACAAATAAATAAACCAAAGGCAGACACTCAACCACTAAGCCACCCAGGTGTCCCTTACAACACGATTCTTATGTCACACTAACACATACACTTGCTGAAGACCATGTCTGGGAAGAGTGGTCTGCTTTAGAGTAAATTCTCTGCCAGGTACCAGAATATTATAGGGAAAGAATGGGATAAAACTTTAACTTATAGGGGTACCTTGATTTTGGCTCAGGTCATGATCTCAGGGTTGTGGGACTGAGTCCCACCTCTTGTTCTATGCTCAGCGCAGAGTCTGAGATTCTCTCTTTCTCTCCCTCTGCCTTTTGCTTGTGCTCTCTCTCTCTCTCAAATATATAAATAAATCTTAAAAAAAAAAAAAACAACCTGTAACTCATAAATAGTTCCTAGAGCCATTCTGGAAATGAATTCCAAAAACATTATAACAGAACCAAAAGCATGAAGGGAAATGAACAATGAAAAGACTGCAACTGTTCTTATGTCAATATAAGGCTGTTTAAGCAAGAATCTTTTAACCTCCATATTAAATATTAGACTTTAAGCTTTAAAAAAGTCTTTTAACATGATAGCCAGGTAAATAATACCCTCTACTCTACCACCAGCTGAAACATATATTTCCAAAATCAATTATTTCCATCATACTGTTACAGAAATTTGGTCTAGGCTTTCTTCCCTCACCCTCACTCCTTTTCTTAATTCCTTTTTTGGACTATTACCCAGAAAGGGAAGCAAATAGCTATAATCTTGGCTGCTTTAGTACCTTCCATTGTCAATTTCTGAACCATTAGTCCAATTATCAATGTCTTCAGAAGTTTGCAGGCTACAGCTAATGGAATGCTAATTACAGTGTCAGCAACTAAATGAGGTGTACAGGAACCAAGGAAGTGACATGTGCCAGATTCACCAAACACCTGGGTAGGGGCCATGACTAGACATGGCACCACATCTCTGCCTCGAGAACTATTCCTCCCCCCTGGTTTTCCTCGCTGCTGTTGGCCACCTCTGATGGGAGGCAGGGGTGGACACTCTTCTTCCTCATCTGTAAACCCAGTTCTTGGGCTTTTCTGGACGAAAAGCATATTTTCATTTGACCCCTGGCAATGAATCACCAACTCTTTGTGCTTAAACACTGCACCCTAGAAAAAAGAAAGACACATCAAGTTTTGGGAGAATTCCAAGCATTAGGAAATAAAAGCTCTGAAGCTTTACCTGCTAAACTTCTCAATGAACAGGCTACCCAAATCTATTGACATAAAATAGACCTAGGACTATAAGACCATCTTTATTCAGAGCAATAATTCAACACAGGGCATAAGCAAGTTAACTCAGCCAAAATCTGTAAATGTGCATGATGGTATCAAGCAGTTTCACCTTCCTCCTATGATACATATGATCACAAGGACTTCAGGCACTTAACAGGATCACTTTATTTTCTTACCAACTTTAGGAGGGTTGAAAGGCATCTCTTTTAACCGCTTTTCCAATTCTGCAAGGGATGTGTTGTTGATGATATCCTGCAAACCAGAAAGCAGAGCATTATGAGCTTTAATCAGCTCAGTACAACATACAGTAGAGATTCATCAAATGTCAGGGCCAAAAAAATTTTAAAAAAGTATATCTAGTACTGCCCCCTCGTGTTCTTTAAAGAAACTTGGGAGTCATGGTTTCTTCAATGTGAGAGACAGCAGTGTCAGGTTCACCATGCAGAAAGTATCACTATATAAATGGTTTTTGGAGATGTGTTTAAATACCTACAGAACTTAGGCCAGTGAGCTATACTGTTCAGGCATTCATTTCATTCAGTTATGGAAAGTCACTTCACAAAATAACAAACAATTTTACTTTAACCTGAATTTTTCTGATTAGAAAATATAACCAAAATATATAAAATCAAGAAAATTACGAAGTATGTCCATGCGTAACCTATTCAGAAATGCATTTTACACACACCCACACACATTTTTTTTTTAGTAAGCTCTATGCCCAACATGGAGCCTAAACTCATGACCCTGAGGTCAAGAGTCACATGTTCTACTGAGTCAGCAAAGCGCCCCACTCTACTCCCCCAAAAATACATTATATATTTTAATACTAAAAATGTTTACATTCAAAAAGAATATAGGAGAGGAAAAAAATAATTCCAATATCCAAGACAACCACTATTCACATTTGGTATATTTGTTTTTAGTCTTTTTCTAATTATTTTCCTTTTGGGATGTACTTGAAAATAACAAACTAGATCAGAATTCTAGCTGGTCATTGATTCAAGCTCCTAGTATCAATTCAAAACAGTTCCAAACATAAGTTTATCAGTGGTAGCTCAAGTTTTAAAAATACCTTAAAAGGTTGTGTGCTGGCCATCAATTTTGTATCCAAGAGTCTAAAAACAAAAGAATTTTTAAGAAGGTAAACAAAATGCACATCAATGCCCAAAATGTATTTTACTCAAACCAAGAGCCAGTCTCCTGTCCTAAAAGCCAACAAGAGAATTAAGCACCTCTCTTACATTACACTGGGGCTCAGTCCTCTCAGCCCTTCTTCATCAAGAGGCTGTTGGGGAGGGCACAAGCTCTAGAACTGCTTGTACCATGAGAGGGTGTGGGTTATATAGATTCCAAGAAGATGGCAGAGATCTTTGTAAGTTTTTACATGGTTTAAATACCACTGTAGGTCTAGTACCTGCCAGGCCATTATCAAGTACTAAACCACCCAGACTGGCACAAAATAAACTCCTGGTGGTTAAAATCTATATTTGGTGGTTTCATACCATTGTTATTTCTTAGAATTCAGTGTCAGAGATTGGAATAATGAAAAAAGACATGCAGAGAGACAGACACTAGTGTGAGAACCCTCTTTCTTTTGACATAAATGTGAAGAGTAATAGATAACAGGGCAGAATTAGCCCAGATGTAAGAGCAACGGCTCTACCACCACACCTGTTCGTCTTCAGACAGGTCCTCAAACACAGACTCTTGCTCTAGAGGCTCCACGTGGCGGACACATGATCTAGCAGACATGTGACGTGTGACATATCAGAACTACCCTGTGATATTAACTGTGGGAGACACTCTCAGGTCAAGGCAGCAACTTAGAGATGAGGGGGGAAAAATCTCTAGCCAAACAGTTTTGGACTGACTACAGAACATCCTCAACTGGTCACTTGACTGGGACAAGGCACGTCCAACGTACAAGAGAGACAAGAGTCAACTCTTGAAGATTTTGCCAATTCTTCCGACAGTAGGGTATGGGGTGAGAGAAAAGAGGGGTGCTGCCAACTTTCGCTCCCTGTTCAAATTCTGGTTTCTAATGCAATCAAACCAATCATCAATTACAAAAGCAATCGGTCACAGTTAGACCCCTTAAACCATTAACCAGTTATTACAACTGGATTGTAATCACAATCGGATCATTACTATTTTGGATATTTATTACCTATTTCTATCTTGTACAGTATGAGAACTATTTTGAATGAAGGACAACAAATCCTCAAAGAAAGCTTACCTGGGGAAAACACATGTTGTCATCTCCTTGAACTCATTTAAGTCCTAAGAAAAAGACGACAATGACTTGCTACAGTTTCACTATTACACTCACAATATTGAAAACATATATAAATAGTCAAGCTCCATAGCTCTTTTCTCAAACCGTGATACCTCACATGGGCCCTTTAAGCTTAACTGCCAGATCCATTTCTAGTTAATAATTACGTTCTAAAAATCGTCACAATTCCCTCATGACTGGGAATCATAACAATCCAACATAAAACTTTTGCATAACCAAAAGGGACAAACCTGAGCATTTTACGGCTAAAGCAGGAGGGGAAAAAGTTTCTATTACATGTAGAAAGCTTTCAGTAATAGCTCTACCAAATGAATCCATCATAATAGTGAGGCTAGCAGAGTTATTTAAATAAAATGGCTTATATAGGAAATGGACATACTGTAAACTAGGTTATACCTTTACTGAGAATATCTTTAAAATGCTAGTTAAAATGCCCATTAAAACACAGACTTTCCAATATGCACGATGCATGCTTTAACTACTCAGAAAATTGCTAAAACACCAGTAGCAAGTGCCTAAATTAGACAATTCATTTCCCAGTTTATTTTCATCAGGGAGTCTAAAGCCAAAATGAGATGGATCTAATTTTGAATGAACTCATTTACATACATAATTGCCACGCCAGACTGAGTAGTCATACTCCTGACCCTTTGTAACTACACTTCTCTTCAGTGTTATTCATGCTTCGTAGCATACTGCCATTTCCAATTAGCTTTCTGAGCCTGTAAATACAGACTGTGTTTAGCTAGTTTGGAATATTCACCAGCTTTTTCAAGAGCTATCGTTAAATTAACGGACAACACATGAACAAGTGGTTTCAGTGCCGAGGTCAAAGAGAAATGCAATAATGACAATTGTCACCTCTCAATATTATCACAAAGCCTCACAAAGCAAGAAAAAAAATTAGAATTAGGGCTACTTCCAGGGCTATAATGTAGACCCCTCTCTCTAACAGGTCATGGTGAATGATCAAGAAGATTCTTCAGAAGAGACTCTTCCCTAAAAGGCAGCTCCCAAATAGATTCTTTAGCATATTTTTAAGCACAAAATTTGGTACCAGTGCATGTAAAGAGTTCTACCATTTTAAAGATGCTTTTTCCCTTGCTCTCAACACTTCTTCCAAAACTAGGTGAAAGAAAAGCGTTTTCTCCTGACAATGACAGAACACAAAGTTCAATTACTTACTCAGGTAGCCTTAAGTAATAAAGCAAGAGATGAAGCCATGTCTCCTAACCCACATCCTACTCTGCCAACAGACCTCAAACTCTAGTAGGATTCCACTAGAACTGGATTCAGAACTACGGCAGTCCCATTCAAGGTAACATTTACCAAGTGCTTACGTACAATGTGCTATGCTAGGCATTTAGACATAGGCAATAAAAAGGTTACACTCCTTGTCCAGGGAGCTAATTGCCTAGAAGAAAGGGACAGCAGTTAAGAAAAGCCACATGCACAAGAGCTCCATAGTTCGGTGAGAGTTCAGAGAGAGGGAAAGGAAACATCACCCCTTGGGCAAGGCAGCAGGCAGGGAAGACTTCATGGAAGAGGCATTTGCTGGATATTGGTAAAAGATAAAGTTGTACATAGCAAATGTTGAGAAAAGCTGGAGAAAAATCAAAGCGGAGGAAATTGTATGCCAAAACCACAGGCAAAAACACAATGCGGTTCCCAGGAACAAATGACCCAGTCTGGCTGGGAATAAGGAGAACAATAAGGGACTAGCAGACACAGGGCTGTTGGGCCACATTGCAGAAAGCTTGATATGCCGGGCTAAAAACCAGCAGCTGTATAGAAAAGCAGTGCATGTGGGATCAGGTTCAGAATTTTGAGCAGGGTCAGCGGTATGAACAGATCCATATATGAGAAGATTATAAAACTGGTACAGCCAGAAGATACTCATTTGTTAAATCAATATGTAATGTCTCCTATGTGCCAGACTCTGGTGTTTGAAACAGCCATATAGGCAGTATTTATTTTCTTTTTTTTTTTTAAGATTTTAATCACTTTCCTCTTTCCTTACCAGTCACTTCACTGGTTTAAAGGTCAAAAAATCATTAGAGGGGACACCTGGGGGGCTCAGTGGCTGAACGTCTGCCTTCAGCCCAGGTCATGATCATGGAGTCCCGGGATCGAGCCCCGTATCAGGCTCCCCGCAGGGAGCCTGCTTCTCCCTCTGCCTGTGTCTCTGCCTCTCTGTGTCTCTCATGAATAAATAAAATCTTTAAAAAAAAAAATCATGAGGAGCTGCTATGCTTTTTGATCTCTTTGCCCAATAGAGGCAGTTGATCTCAAGTAAACATCAGCTCTTGAGATTTATCCACTACAAATTCACAGCTACCAAATTTGTTTTGAGACTCACCACCATGGAGTCTTTGAGTCCCAGAGCAGGTGATACAGTTGTCATGTGGAAAGAGAACAAGGGGAGCAAAAGACCTACTGTATTCACAGCGGGGCTTTACTGGGCTTTTCCAAAGAGAGTAATCAAGATCCCGATGGAACAATGTCTCATGAGAAATGTGAAGTAGGGGATACCTGGGTGGCTCAGTTGGTTAAGTGTCTGCCTCTTGATTTAGGCTCAGGTCATGATCTCACGGTCATGAGACTGAGCTCTGCATCAGCTCTACATGGGGCATGAAGACTAAGATTCTCTCACTGTTGCTCTCCTCCCAAAAAAGAAAAGAGAGAGAGCAAATAAAGGAGAGGGGAAGACAGAGTGATGGGAAGCAAGCAAGATGAGCCTGTGTGCACAGTTAGGGAGCAAAAGAGGAAGAGATAAAAGAGAAACTCTTTTCCCAAAGAGCCAGAAAAGCTTATATCTTGGTGCACTGAGACAACTTGGCTCCAAGAGCAAAAACATGCCAAGGTTAACAGAAAATCTAAAGGAAGCAACTGAGCAAGAGGTAATCACAAATTTTGCAGGACCTGATCCAGTTTAGCAGACCCAGAGCCCTTTCAATGGCCCCACTATGGCTAATGTTAGCCCCAGCCAACGAGAAGACCACGCCTGTGGCTGAGGTACCCCTGCCACAGGGGTACTAACTGAGCAAACCACTGGCATCAAGTTGAAACAAATCTATGGCTAATGTTAGCCCTAGCAAATGAGAAGACCACGCCTGTGGCCAAGATACCCCTGCCCAGCACTAACTGAGCAAACCACTGGCGTCAAGTCGAAACAAATATTCAACTCTGCTCTGCCAATGGCAGACGACTGAAGATCCCTTACAACAACTTGTAAGTACGTCTCTTCAAAATTTTACAACCAAGCGCCTGAGACTCTCTCTGGGAATGTGCTGCATACAAAGAAACAGCACTCACATAGAGAATGCTTTCTCAGTAATAAGGAATTATGGTTTTTTTCTTTTTTTTTTCTTCTAAGTTTTTAATTCCAGTTAGTTAACATATAGCATTGTATTAGTTTCAGGAGTACAAGATAGTGATTTGACACTTCCATACAACACCCAGTGCTCATCACAAGTGCACAACTTAATCCCCATCACCCATTTCACCCATCCCCCTGCCTCCCTGCCCTCTGATAACCATTTGTGTGTTCTCTAGAGTTAAAAGTCTGTTTGCTGATTTGTCTCCCTCTCTTGCTTTTTCCTCCCTTTGCTCATTTGGGTTTTTTTTGTCTTAAACTCCACGTGAGTAAAATCACATAGTATTTGTCTTTCTCTGATGGACTTGTTTTGCTTAGCATAATATTTTCTAGTTCCAGCCATGTCACTGCAAATGTCAAGAAATCGTGAATTTTTAACCCAGACTGACAGGTCACTTACCGCAGGCAGTGGGCAGTAAAACTGATGAACTGTGTGCATGACATCCAAGAGCATATTGTGTCCAATAACGAGTTTTCCCTAAAGAAAGTCAGGGTGAAGAAGACTTCTTAGCACAAAATCATATTGGGGCTTGAGAGTGAAATGTATGGTTCAGAGTCTATGAGGATTTTGTACCGAACTTATTTTTTTGATATTAAAAAAACCATATTCAAATAAGTAAGTTAGGGCTGGCTTTATTCCTCTTTAAGAGTGTCAGAGTGTTAAATCCATTATGCAAAGTAAAAGCTCCAATGACTTTGATTTCATTGATCTCTGCTATTTATTTACCTTGCCACCCTCAAGAACCAGAAGTAGTAAAATTTTTATTGAAGAGCTCTAAAAGTAAGTGAAAAATGCTAAGTACATTGAACTATCAATAATTTGTGAACAGGCTCCAAATATCTATTCTATGAGTGCATTCTTTAAACAACTCATTTATATATAAAAGACATATTCATAACAACACTGAAAGGTAAAAATAATCTCTAATTCTAGTAAACAGAATGAATCGTTTCCTTCACATCTATGTCAAAATTCATGAGGAATATTCTTAAATACAATTTCCAATGCAATTCATTGCTTTTTTGCCAAATGAAGTACAATATGGGTTCAATAAATCACTCCACTGTGATAAAAATTAAACTACCACAATGGAACACCAACTTAGATTTAGCCATCCAGGTGACACTATTTTTAACAAAAAGTATCTATCTGGTCATTACAGTGGATCTATGTCCCAGTGCATCTTCAGATACGTCTGGAAACATTGGGCTAAACATAATTACATTAACATAAACAGTTACATACAAAATCTTCCCAATCCAACAGACAAACTGTCCTTTTGGGTCAGTAACACCACAGCAGTACCTAGTGCCAGATCAGGGTTTCTAAACACCATTATTCAATTAAAAAAAACCAAGACTCCTTGGGGAACTCATGGATTCTAGAACTGAGGCTTGGAAAACACAGCCTGAGTCTGAACATCTTGTGATCCCAGGAAATAAGGAGGTGCTCAAAAAAGGAGAGGGGCTGGGGCACCTGAGTGGTCCAGTCAGTTAAGCATCTGACTCTTGATTACAGCTTAGGTCATGATCACAGGGTCGTGGGATCAAGCCCCATGTTGCGCTCTGAGCTGAGTGTGGAGTCTGCTTGTCCTAGTCCTCCCCTGCTTGCTCTCGCTCTCCCTCTCTCTTTCTCCCTTTTCCTCTCTCTCAAATAAATAAAATATTTAAAAACAAAAACAAGCAAAAAAAAAACCACTGAGATTGTAACAAACTGCTGAATGCTAAGGAAAAGGAACAAGTAAATGTGGGTCCTGAAAAGAACCATGAACTCAGTCGGAAAAGTGATGAAGTTCAAATAAGGCCTAGAGTTTGGTCATAGTATTATACCAGTGTTCATCTCCTGGTTCTGATAACCACATGGTCATAGGAGACATCAGCAAAAGGGGAGCAAGGTGAAGAATCTGTAGAAACTCACTACTATTTCCCTTTCTACTATTTCTCTTCTATTTCTTCTCTCGATTTCCACTATTTGCTATGAGTGTAAAATTAGTACAAAATGTTTTAATGCTACAGAAGGGCAGCCCTGGTGGCGCAGTGGTTTAAAGCCTCCTGCAGCCCGGGGTGTGATCCTGGAGATCCGGGATCAAGTCCCACATTGGGCTTCCTGCATGGAGCCTGCTTCTCCCTCTGCCTGTGTCTCTGCCTTTCTCGCGCTCTCTGTGAATAAATAAATGTTAAAAAAAAAAAAAATGCTACAGATTTACTAGTAAGACTAGCAGAGAAAAAATGTGGTGGGACATAAATACTTAAGAGTGTTGAGTATTCCCTGGCTTTCTAGAGCCTGTTTTTAAGATGTGTTACTTCTAAATTTTAAATGTCTGGGTCACTGATAAAGGGAGCTTTCTTCATAGTATGCTTTGTGACGTTAACCACCAACGGTCAGCAACACGCTGGGAATTATTCTGTAGGAGCCGGACAACAAGGAGCTGCACACAGCCAGTGAAGGCATCAGAGTCTGAACCAAGCAAACAGACTCCACCATCAGGGATGGCCACAAGGAGCTCAAAGCCAAGTGATGGCTGATGGGTCTGTATTTTAGGGCTGGCCTCAGTCAAATCAACCACTTCTCTGAAGTCTGCTGGCTAAGGATGGATAATGATGTAAGCAAATATGACCAGAAATTCCTCTTTGCTTCTCTGGATGCCTGTTAGCCACTTCTGAACAGACGCTCATCTTTGTTTCGTTTCTCTGCAGACTCATCCAACTTTCTACACCGTTCTGATGACCTCACTGACTTCTTTCACAGGGCTCTGAAACTGCCGATTATTCCCAGTTGGGGGCAGCCGCATGCCTCCCCTCAGGCACTCCCATTCTCACAAGCCTGCACCTGGTGGTGAGACAGCCACGGAACACAGAACACGGAGGGGCTCTCTACGGCCTTAAAGTGTCCTGGGTGCAAAGCTCAGCACCTAAGATGATTTCTTTTCCAAAGGGCCTTAGAAAACAAGCAAAAATGTCCACCATGCCACTGGGTGTTATTCTGTATGTTGGTAAATTGAACACCAATAAAAATTAATTTATTAAAAAAATAAATTAAAAAAAGTCCACCATGCCTATCATGGAATACTCTAGCATATTTACACAAATGGTCAACACATTTTTAAAATTTATCAAGTATTATCAAGGCCATCACACAGGAGATTCCATTACAGTTATGCAGAAGAACCCAACACAATTATCTTTGTCCTCTAGGTTCTTCTAATTATGGAATAAAACGCCCTTAGTCAGATACCCCATTATTTTTCCCATTACTCCTTACTTGCTTATTCTACTTCTTAAATGGTTTTGAGAATCATAAAAGTTAGTTTCATGGAGCATATAAGGGCATCAAGCATAATCTTCCTAGACATTTTACAAGAAAAGCTTTTTTTTTTTTTTAATTTTTTTATCTTTAAGTAATTTCTACACCCACTGTGGGGCTTGAACTCGCTACCCTAAGATCAGCAGTCACATGCTCTACCAGCGGAGCCAGCCAGGCTCCAGTTTCACTGCCATTTTCTTGTAGGGACAAGTAAACCTTCCAGAAAATGGCGTGGATCCAATCGGTAATTATGATGTCACCGAGCACATTGTAACCACGGTTTCCCTTCATACCAGGTAAACATTCTACACACAACCAAATGGGTAATTGGCAGTGATGAGCACACATTTCACCTTAAATGAATCGTGTTAAAAAGAAAAAGCCTGGTTCACTTACCGAATTGGCAATGGCATGAATGACTCGAGAAAATCCCACGGCATCATTCAGTTCTTCCTGATTTAGAGAAACAAACCGAGGAAACTACTGACATAAACAGATTCCTTATTTGAACAGGTTAACGCCTAGCTCCAAAAAGCACTTTCATGTTATATTGAGTTAGCTTTAGTTTCCTGGGCTCTATCTCCATCATCCCAAACCACTGCATCTAAAATGACATATGGGGGGATCCCTGGGTGGCGCAGCGGTTTGGCGCCTGCCTTTGGCCCAGGGCGCGATCCTGGAGACCCGGGATCGAATCCCACGTCAGGCTCCCAGTGCATGGAGCCTGCTTCTCCCTCTGCCTGTGTCTCTGCCTCTCTCTCTCTCTCTGTGACTATCATAAATAAATAAATAAGTAATTTAAAAAATAATAATAATAAAATAAAATAAAATGACATATGTACAAACCTTTCTTCTGTTTCAGAACATGGAATAAGCAAGTACCAAATTATTCATTAGTTACTAAAGTAACGATGCCTAGGATTTGCCCATCATTTCATATCGTTTGCTGAAATCTCCAAAGTCCAGCAAGTGGCCTTAGAAACACAAACTTTTCAAAGCTGCCACCTGCTGGCCAAATTCAATACTGCATTAAATTCTGAGGAAGCCCATCTGGCAGCTGACTGATCAAATCAAGCACTCTCCTAACTCCTGGCTTTTTTCCTTGTCAGATGCATTTTTGGACATTTATAGCACAGCACTCTGAGACTCAGCCCCACCCAGTTTCTTCTCTCTTTTCCTCCCAATGATACCTAAATAGGCTCAATTTCTCTATCTTGACACCCCATCTTCAGTGCTGAGCTGCATGCACCTGCATAGCTGCATTACTCAACAATTCTCTGCCCATGAGCTCGTTTCATTGCCAGCTCTTTGCAGCTCTCTGCTCTCTGGCCTCACTCTCTCTGAAACTGTTCATCTCTTTAAACTACCCTCAAGCTAATAAGTTTTGGCAGGGATGTGGAGAAACTGGAGCACTTGTGCCCTATTGGGGGGAATGTAAAGTGGTACAGTCGCTATGGAAAACAGTATGGCAGTTTCTCAAAAAATTAAATATAGAACTTCCATACGATCCAGCAACTTCATTTCTGGGTATATGCCCAAAAGAACCGAAAGCAAGGACTCCAAAAGAATTTGCACACCCACAATCATAGCAGTATTATTCACAAGAACCAAAAGATAGAAGCAACCCACTGTCTATGATAGATAGAAGAAGGAAATGTGGTCTATACGGACAATGGGCTACTGATCAGCCTAAAAAGGAAGGGAATTCTGACACCAGGTACAACATGGATGAACCTGGAGGACACTATGCTGAGTGAAATAAACCAGCCACAAAAAGACAAATGTTGTATGACTCCACTTACATGAGGCACCTAGAGTCGTCAAACTCAGAAGGTACAATGTTTGGCAGGGGCTGGGGCAGGGAGCAGACAGGGAGTTAGTGTTTAATGGGGACAGAGTTTCAGTTTTACAGGACAAGAACAATTACCTGAGTAGCAGTTTCCTAAGATGGATGGTGGTGGCTACCCAACAAGATGAAAGCACTTAACACTACAGAACTGTACACCTAGAAACAGGATAGTATATTGTACACTATGTGTATTTTGCCACAATTAATTTTTTTTAATTTTTTGGAATATTTTTTTAAAACTTCATTTTCCTATGCAAATGTTTTAATGACATCTTTATGACTTTCTCCCAGACAATGAACTCTTGGATAGGAAAGCCATGAATCATTTGCTCTGGGAGTGCTTAAGTAGCTCAGTCAGTCAAGGGTCTGCCTTCAGCTCAGGTCATGCTCTTGGGGTCATAGTAGGATCGAGCCCCTTGTCAGACTCCCTGCTCAGTAAGGAGTCTGCTTCTCCCTCTGCTCCTCTCCCCTACCCAGTGCTTGCTCGCTCTATCTTGCTCACGCTCTAATAAATAAATCAAAAAAATCATTTGTTCTTATGCCTTCTGCATCTATCACCATGCCTGAACATACAGTAAATACACTACAACTGGTGAATAACTAATTCGACCCTGATTCCTATATCAGTGTCCATTCTTCCTTGTGACCAGAGGTCTTTCTTGTCAAGTGGACGAAAATCTGAATTCCTGGAATAATGAGAACTGTGCTGGAGTCCCTGCTAAATATCCCAGTTCCCTTGGGTCTCAGACTTCTGTCTTGTTCTCCTCTGTCCTCTGGATTGGAATTCTAGCTCTCAAAACTGTTATTAAACTTTTACTGCAACACTTAATAATTATTATTTTTAAAAAAAGAAAAACGACTCCCAAGGCTAAACCCAGTAGCCACATCTCAGTCTTTATTCTTCTCCTCTGCTGACATTCCCCTCTTGGAACATTCTGCTTGGCTGCTGGTCTCAAGACTCTCCGGGCACATTCTTCTCCTTCTGCCTATCATTTCAATGCTAGATCCCTCAAGCACCTACCCCAGACCATCTTACTCTCATTCTTCAGTGCAAGGTAGGTGCTCCAGCCCAGGCCCGGTGTCCCCACCAATGAGAGCCACACCTAGTTCTCACCTCACCTTCTCTCCTGAGCTCCAGAATGACAAGTCTGTCTATAGGACACCCACTACTGGATGTCCCAAGACATCTAAAATGTCATTGAGTCAAAAACAGAGGGTGACATCCTTTTCCACTGTTGGGGGACAGCTCTGCCATGGTGCCATTGTGATCTTGCATGTATCCACATATGCCACACAGGCAAAGGCCTGAGTCACGACCCATCTCTGTGTTGGTGGAACAGCCCAGGAAGAGCGGGTGGGAGGCCAAGGCTTGTGAGGAGCTGCTATGAGGCCATCTCCTACCTGCCTCCCTCTCTCCAGTCATGAGTACTTCTCACTACCTCCCAGGTTCTGATGAGGCATGGGGCTTTCTGCCCCACCCTCCTTTGCAAAAGAGAGCTACAACAGAGAAAAGCACTTAGCTGCAGTCTAGAACTGGCTCCTCAGTAATGGGGCAGCCAAAACTCCACTGCAGTCTCCTGGCCCTTTGGTTTCAGTGTTGTCTTTTTGGCATGTGGGACCAAATGCAGCTGGCACCTCTGGCTTATCTTCCTTCTGTATATAAGCAATAAACTATCTAAATCCAACAGTAGCTTTTTGTCCCTTTACTGATTGAATCAGTCAGCTGTGGCCCTGCCTTATGCATGTGTGAGCTCTTGGTCTCCTCTGCCTGTGTCTCCCTACCAGTATCACTCTGGCCCTCCCCATCTGACACCAGTCTACCCAGTTGCTCAAAATTTTGGCATGAGTATCTTTCTTTTCTCCCCTCCACTTTTTTCTTTTTTTTTTTAAGGTAGTCTGGCTAGGTTGCATGACAATTTTTTTTTAAATTTCATTTATTTATTCATGAGAGACACAGAGAGACAGAGAGAGATGGAGACACAGGCAGAGGGAGAAGCAGGCTCCGTGCAGGGAGCCCAACATGGGACTCAATCCTGGGTCTCCAGGACCATGACCTGGGCCAAAAGCAGCGCTAAACCACTAAGCCACCTGGGCTGCCCTCCCCTCCACTTTCAGTGCCCACACTCAATCCCAAATTCCACTGATTCTACCTTCTAAATATCTCCAGGTTCCACCTAAATTACTACTCATTATCCTATTCCAACCTACTAACATCTCATTGCTAGGTTACTCCACAGCATAATCGTTCTATCTCCCTGCCTCTGGTCCTCCTCTGGAATCCACTCTCCAGACAGCAACCAGAGTGATGCTCTCTAACAATGCAAATACAACCATGTCATCCTAATCTATTGAATCACAGGTTCCACAGTTTGTTTTAGGAAAACCAGCAACTGTGCCCGAAGCTAAACACAGCAATATTAGTTCAGGGTCACACAATCTGAATGATGCGTGCAGTTCAGTGACACACAATCTGAATGATGACCAAAGATACTTTCTTCAAGACTGATTCACACATTGGGATCCCTGGGTGGCACAGCGGTTTGGCGCCTGCCTTTGGCCCAGGGTGCGATCCTGGAGACCCGGGATCGAATCCCACATCGGGCTCCCGGTGCATGGAGCCTGCTTCTCCCTCTGCCTGTGTCTCTGCCTCTCTCTCTCTCTCTGTGACTATCATAAATAAATAGATAGATAGATAGATAGATAGATAGATAGATAGATAGATAGATAGATAAATAATAATATTAAAAAAAAAAAAGACTGATTCACACAGGCAAAGGCTGGTGCTGGTCAACCAACATGTCAGACTCACTTTGGTGGCTATGTCTAAGTTTTTAACCTTGGGGATGCCTGGGTGGCTCAGTGGTTGAGCATCTGCCTTTGGCTCAGGGTGTGATCCTGGAGTCCTGGGATCAAGTCCCACATAGGGCTCCCCGCATGGAGCCTGCTTCTCCCTCTGCCTATGTCTATGCCTCTGTGTGTGTGTGTGTGTGTGTGTGTCTCATGAATAAATAAAATCTCTAAAAAAAAATTTTTTTTTAAGTTACCCTCGTTCTGTTCTAGGTTTCTCTGCCAATTCAATACTGCTAGGGTAGGACACTATTCATCACGCTGAATGTGACACAAGACCTACAAACATACAGAAAGGCCTAAGTCAGTATCGAGTTGTCGTTTCTCACCCAAAGAATGTGAAAATGACTCAGTCACCTGTTCCTTAGCGAGTTTCTGCTGCTCCCTCCTCTTACGCTCTTCTTCATCTACTTTGCTGATGACGATGTAGCGCTCCTTCTAAAAGACATAAAGCAGAAGTACAACTTTCAGGAAGCAATCTGATCTCAAACAATCCAGATTCTGCTACCATTCGGAGTTATATGTTTTACCAGCACACACCCTTTCATGGGCTAAACATGCTGATAGCATTTTGAAATGCCACCAAAAACTGAGCTGGTGTGTTACAAACCAAAATTCTGCCTCTGTGCTTGCATGACATTTGCCTGCAGTTTATTAATTCAACCCAACAGAAGTCAGTTCAAAATATCAACAGACTACAAGAATAAGACACTTTCCATGATGAACACTAAGAAGTTATGCTCCATGTAAATGTGAATTTCTAAACAGTTGGCTTTAAAATAAAATTTCTGTATATTTTGATGACCTAAGAAAAAAAATCCTGGACTCCCTGGTAAGGTGTCAGAAAACTAATCCCTTCTTTCTCATGTATTCTACTTTGTATCAATTAAGCACACCACACCCTGTGTCAAAGTTTGAGATTTATCTTCTAGCTAGAGTTTTCCATTTACTTCATCTCTTATTTCATCTGACATCTGACTTAAGAGCAACCACAAAATTCTTAAGAGCATCCACAAAATTCTGAAATTCTAAAATTTTCCTAAAGGAGCCCACCACCAGCCTCCCAGTAGCCATTACGGTTCCATCATCGCATCTCTGCGATGGAATACATGCCATAGCAATGCTGATGCTTAATGCCGCAGATTCTATCATTTAATTTCATGTGCCCATCTAACAGGAAGCCACTTTTTTCATGTAGAGCACTACAACTTTCTACCACAATTAGAATGCATACTAACATTTACATACTTTCAAGTTAACAAAGCATGTTCATGTCCGCTAACCCACAAAATAGCTGTGAAACAGGGACAGACTGTCATTGTCAGGCTTGTCCCCAGAGTACCAATGAGGAAGACAAGGCTTCCAGATCCAGAGGTGACATGACTTGCCCAAGGTCACCCAGTTCATAGGAAGCACAGCCAGGAGTCAACCCTTACTCTTAGCATGTCAATATATCATTCCATGTGTTTGGCCCTGGATAGTTCTTGGGGTTACCTTTTCAGTTTCTAAAGTGTCAACATGAATGCCTTTGGGATACCTAAAGAAAAGAGAGAGACAACGGGACATCACTAGATGAGACAATGACAGCTAAAACCCTAGGTATTTTCAAAGCAACTCTATGGCTGAAATTTAGTTAACTGTCATTAATATATATACTACTATAATGAAGACTTTCTAGTAAGTCTTGTCCATAATATTGCAGCTGCCAAATGTTTCTCTATGTCTGCTTTTAAAAGTCAGGAGTGCATTGGATTTCAAATTAAATTTTTTAGGACACAGGCATCTTCTGACATGTCATGCATCACATAATACATTCAGCTCATTACCACACAATCAAATCTCACTTCCAAATATAATAACATTTACTTCCTAGGTGAAATTTTGAAGGTCATTTTAGATAATACAGGGCATACATAGAGGTCTGAGGTAAGTTAACTCTGCTATACTTTGACATGGTAATTTGCAATAGCCAAGGAGAGGAATCTGGAACCTACATGGAATACACTGCAAGGGTAACACAACAGGAAAGGAGCCCAGTCAGAGGACAATGGTCCCTTTCCCATTTATTCAAAGTAAATTCCAAGTATACACATCATTGCAGATTCTAATGAGAGAACAAGAACCTCAAAGTCAAATATAAACATCCAACTGTTCAACACTAATGTTCAAATTGTGGATTAGAGAGCCACTTGGAAAATACAGAAATAGGGTGCTTAGGTGACTCAGTCAGTTTAGCATCCTACTCTTGATTTCAGTTCCAGTCGTGACCTCAAGGTCATGATATCAAGCCCCAAGTCAGGCTCCCTCCTCAGCTCGGAGTCTGCTTGAGATTTTCTCCCTCACCCTCTGCCCCTCTGCTCCACAACCCCCCTCACATGCACATACTCTCTCTCTCTTAAAAAAAAAAAAAAAAAAGTGAAAATACAGAAATCTATGGAAACACATCCAGAAAAATACATGCACATAACAATGGATGAGATTTTGGGGGGATTAACAGACCTCCTGAAACTCACCCATGGCCCAACCCCTGCTTTAAAAAGAGCATTCATCTGAGCTATTTCTTAGATCTCAAAACCCAGGGATGGCTGGGTAGCTCAGCAGTTGAGCATCTTCCTTCGGCTCAGGGTGTGATCCCAGTCCGGGGATCGAGTCCTGCATCAGGCTCCCTGCGAGGAGACTGCTTCTCCTTCTGTTTGTGTCTCTGCCTCTCTGTCTCTCATGAACAAATAAATAAAAATATTAAAAAAAAAAAAATCCTGAGACTCAATCTGTATCATACACCCTCAAAGACCAGAACACTATACATCCAGAACTTCATGGACTTAAGACCAAAGTGATAATGAAAAGAAAATTTTATTTTATTTTTTTTTTGAAAAGAAAATTTTAAAGGCTTAAAATCATCTGCTAGGAAATAACAACAAAAAAATTAGTGGGTATTCAAGGAACTTAAGGAGTAGGGGGAAGTTAACACAATTAAAGAACAGCCCAAGAACATGCTATGATCAATTCATTACAAACTGCAGAATCTCAAAAGTGAAAAGAGAGCTAAAGGATAATACTTAGTTTTAAATCCTGGGTCCCTCACAGAGCTCTCACATACAATATAATATAAACACTTACTTCCAGCTCAAAGTCTGATAGATTAGTTTTCTTTGGAACCTATAAAAACAAAAGAGAAGGTACTGATTTGGGCTCATTAAAAGAAAATCCTAACTGATCAAGCACTGGCTGAGAAAGACATTTAACTTTTAAAAGCAACTCCATGAGATGTGACAGGTAAGACGCACACAAAAACAGGCAGGATGTTTGCGGCAGCAGGATCCCTTGCCACTTGTCTTCATCAGAATGTTCTTTAATATTATTCTATCACATTTTTCGAGGATGTAAAAGTTCTTGTCTAACCACAGCATCGCTTCCTGTGGCTGTACGATGACTTTCAAATAGGCACATGCATTAAAACACTTTTTGAAGCTAGTCTCAAAGTAAAAGGGAAGTAAGGTATTTGAGTCACTGCCTCTTTGAAACGCTGACATTTTTTTACTGCAGAGAGAAATTCAAAGGAGAGAAGGGGGCTGACAGTGAATTCTTCCCTTCGAAGCTTTCATGAATCAAGCACTCCTCAAGGCTACCGTAATTATGCCACTCTAGAGGGTACATTAAAGCCAAAGATGCATGAGTGTTTTCTCCCCTACAGCACAGGACAGACTGTTCATTCAGTGTCTCAATATACCATTGTCCTCACTGTGTTAATGCTAAAGTTAGTGCTGACATCTTGGAAACATACAAATAATAAAAAGACTGCGAATGTGTGTTTCAAAGACCAAAATGGAGCCCATGCCAGAAATCATCCACCACTCCAAAAAAAGAACATATGGGAATATTCAGGGCAACTAACCCAGTGCATGGCTCTAAATCCAAGTTCGTGTTTTCTTCACTTTGTAGTAAATCTTCTATTTTCTCTCTGAGGAATTAGAATGAAAACATCAACATCAATATCTTTAAAAGAATGAAGTCATCAACCAAGAGAATCATCATACTCAGAAGCAATCTAACCATAGGCACATAGGAAAGTGTAACTCTACCCAGTCAGGTTATAAGTTTTTAGCTACACTTGAAAGTTATACGTGGTTACACATAGAAATATTTTTTATTGGAGGGGAGCGGGGGGCAGCAAGCAGTTGGTTAAGCATCCAACTCTTAGTCTTAGCGAAGGTTGTGATCTCAGGGTCATGTGATCAAGCCCCATGTGAGGCGCCCTGCTCAGCATGGAGTCTACTTGAGATTCTCTCTCCCTCTCCTTTTGCCCCTCCTACTCGTGCTTTCTCTCTCCCTCTTTCTCTGTCTCAAACTAAATAAATAAATCTTTTTAAAAAATACTTTATGGGGCACCTGGGTAGCTCAGTGGTTAAGCATCTGCCTTTGGCTCAGGTTGTGATCCAGGATCAAGTCTTGCACTGGGTTCCCCAAAAGAAGCCTGTTTCTCCCTCTGCTTGTGTCTCTGCCTCTCTGTCTCTCTCAGGAATAAATAAATAAAATCTTAAAATACTTTATGTGGACATATTCTTTTTGTTGTTATTATTCACAAGTTAGTAAAACTTCTCAAGGATTCATCAACACAAGTAATTTAAATTTTTACTTTTCTAGGGGAAGGAGAGTAGAGGGCTGGGCAAATGGGTGAAGGGGAAAGGGAAATACAGGCTTCCAGTTACGAAATAATTAAGTCACAGGAATAAGAAGCAGAGTACAAGGAATACCATCAATGATACTGTAATAGTGAAATAATGAGACAGATGGGAGCTATGCTTGTGAACAGAGCATCATGTACAAACCTGTCAAATCACTAAGTTGTACACCTGAAATTAATATAACACTGTATGTCAACTATACTCAAATAAAATTAAGTAATTAATTAATTTTTACTTTTTTGGTAAAGCAGTTATACCGAAAACTCAGTAAAACCAGACGCTCCTCCAGGGGCAGGTCTGCGACTGCCAGGGGCAGTTTCTGCTAGTCAGAAACTCCATTCAAAGAAACAAAATAAAACAAAATAAACAAAAATGGGGATATCCTGCAAACATCTGGATGGGTCTATTTTGTTCCTCTGCCTTCAGACAAACTGGACGGTGGTTATCGGGCGGGCCCTTGATCCACGCAGGAGGTATGCCCACTGGCTAAGAGTCTCTTGCCTAATGCCATGTGGGAAGTCTCAGGACAGTACACAAGATTCTATCTAACAATGTGCTATGATTACACAAAATTAGGTATGACACAATGAAACCCTGCCATTCACCCTATCACACCTGCATGCACTATGTGTGCGCAGCTCAACCTTAAAATACAGATGTCAGTCCGGCCCCAACATACATTTACATAACGTCCATTCAGTTTCAGTTTTGGAACTTACACCACTTGGTCAATAAACTTCTTCTGGTCCTCAGGAATTGTCACAGGACATTTTGAAGTGTTTGGAGATACATAAGACAGAGCTCCTGCACCATTGGACTGCAGACGTTTTTCATCATACTGCTCTCTTAACTGTCTTTCTTCTTCATGATTTAAATATGGAATTCCTAAGTGTAATTTTAAAAAGAAAGCATTAGCAGAAGTAACACCACATAAATATTTTAACAGAAAAATTTTTGAATGAACCAGTGAATCTAAAACACTCAGGAAAGGCTTAACATATATAATCATATCCCAAAAAGTCAACAGAAAAAGCAAATGATTTTGAAATTGTCTGTTCATTTGCTCCCATCATTCATCCTTCTTTCAACAAATGCTCATTCGGCACTTAACACTGGGCCAGGCATTGTATCCAGCACAAGGGAGCTAACAGTGAACAAAGGAGATGCGCCCTGCTCTGTGGTGAAGGGGGTGGCTTTGGACGAGATGATCAGAGGTCATTTTTAGGGAAGACCCGAAGGTCACCAAAGGGTCAGGGGAAGAGCACGGCAGGCAGGGAACAAGTATAAATGCCTAGAGGATGGAATGGCACAGACTGCTCCCAAACCAGCAAGGAAGGTGGCCGGACCAGAACATGGTGAGCAGGAGAATGGTACAACATCGACATGGAGAGGATGTGCAAGACTGTGCAGGCCTTTACAAGCCATGGCAAGAATTTACTTTATTCTAAGACCAATGGAATGCCATTAGAAGGTCTTAAGCAAGATAATTACATTATCTGCTTCTCGTTTCTAAGAGATCATCTTGACTCTTGAAGGCTGAAGGCGGGGTAAATGTGTGGGAATGGCTTGATTTACAGTGAGACCTCATTTACATAGTAAACTGTAAACTGTGTCTCTCAAGAATAAATAAATAAAATCTTAAGAAAAAAAAGAAGAAACACAAGGAGAATGAGGCACACTCCCATTTGACTGTTTCTCTCCTTTTCTGAAAATAAAGCCATCAGGCTGGAAATGATACATCCATAGAGACCAGTTAAGGAAGTTCTTTCAAAAGATTTCTGCACTTATTCCAATATAGTGCTCTAACTACAAATGGAATTTTGTATTTTCTTTATTTATTTTTTCTAGGTAGGCTCCTTGCTCAGCTCAAGGATTCCATGTGGGGCTCAAACTCACGACCTTGAGATCAAGGCCTTGAGATCAAGAAGAGTTGGATGCTTAACCGACTGAGCCACCCAGACGCCCCCTTGGAATCTGTATGTTGTAAAGCTTTCGAGTCAAATATAAGCCAATGGAGAAAAATTTTTAGAACACCCAAACTGTGTGCTCAAGCCCAGCTCATTCACTCACTGTGTTAGTCTGGGCTCCAAGAATCTTTCTCTTGCTATTTCCAAGTCAAAATCATCAATAAAAATTAAGGGGCAGCATCAGTGAGGCAAGTAAAAAACACCATGGCATGGGTTCTAAAGGGTTCACAAGACCATTTCGCTGATGGGAAGAGAATTTTGAGTCTATCTTCCAGTACTTTTGTTGAGAAAACTCTCCTTCCTGAACTCAATAATTTGGCATTCACGGTGGAAAAGAATGTAACTTATGAGACAAATTAAAAGTAGTTATTGACCTTCCCACAGCAGCTGCTTAAAACCGTGGGGGAAAACCAGAGGCTCTCCCAAACACTTGGAAGGCAAAACATTCTGGTGGGGACTTTACCGCCCAGTGTTCACTCATGAATATTGGGTCACTTCCTTGACATAGCAGACGACTCCAGCTTTCAAAGTATCAGGGATATGAAATGAATGAGATGTGGTCCCTTTCCTCAGGGTGTCCACCCACCTGTCACACCAGCCAGTGAGCCAACATGACTATGGTCTATGCAGACTTTTATTCTCCCATGAGAAACATTTCCAATTATAAAACAAGCACTACTTGAAATGGGGAGTTTTCATTACAGCATTTCTAGCAGACAGTTACTTTGTAATGTACTCTACCAGTTATCTCGCTGGAAGAAAACAAGGAAGTGTTCCCCTCAGGTGGCCTGTCAGGACCACTAAGTCACACTTAGTGGGAGAATAAACCTCACCCAATAAAATCAGAAGTAAGTGAGGCCTTGTTAGAGAGAAATGAAGTAGTGTCTACTCTTCCCGTTCAGCTCACAGGTGACAACGAGGCTAAATTTTAAAAGGCATGATAAAAGAATTTTTTAAAAACTCTAAGGCTGCACATGGTATACCAGGACTCTTGAGATTCTGTGTCAGACGGCAGGCACAATAAGATAATTCTCAATCAAATCCAAATTTACAAGCTCTAAGGATAAGTCACATATAATCTTACCATTGCGGAAAACTTTATTAAAATCAAATCCTTGGCTTGCTAGAAAGTCAATGCTTGAGCTCTGAAACAGGAGTGAACAGAACATACATTTTGGTGATATTGGCGGCGGATACGTGAACAGAAGCAGGGAGGTAGCTCAGACATGTTAACAAAAACAGGCAGCCAAGGAAATAGCATGCCAGAGGTCAGAAAATTAGGCTTTCTACTCCAAGGCTGCCAAATAATCCATTCATTTAAACTATCTGGGCTCGGGACGCCTGGGTGGCTCAGCAGTTGGGTGCCTGCCTTTGGCTCAGGTCGTGATCCCTGCAAAGAGCCTGCTTCTCCCTCTGCCTATGTCTCTGCCTCTCTCTCTCCCTCAGTCTGTGTCTCTCATAAATAAATAAATCCTTAAAACATAAACTATCTGGGCTCTTCTTCTTTAGAGCTTATAAAACAAATATCCTTTGTTTCACAATATTTAAGAAAATTGTAAAGGCAAATACATATTCTCCCAAAAGGCAGAAAACTCCTGATCCTTGTACTGAGTAGGAAACTATAAAAAAAAATAAAATGTACCGACATTCTCTCACCACCAGTTCACACTTAGAGTAGCTCACATGTGCAAGTCGTAACACATCACAGTAGATTCTGAAAACCGAAAACCTTAGCTGGGCATTCTTTACATTCAAGATCAAAAATAGAGAAAAGTTCCCAGTACCAAGACCGATTACACAAACAATCTCAAACCTACTATAAGCTACACTATAGAAGTTTAAATGAAAACATTAAGAAAATACTATGATACATGGCACCCACAAATGGCAAATCACAAAGTTCTTGACTCGATCTAACCAAAGAGCAGGAAATACGACCATAGCTACTCTAATTTCGTTTTTTTTAATATTATATTTATTTATTCATGAGACACACAGAAAGAGAGGCAGAGACATGGGCAGAAAGACAACTAGGCTCCTAGGGAGAACCTGATGCGTGACCTGATCCCAGGACCCCAGGATCACACCCTGAGCTGAAGGCAGACACTCAACCACTGAGCCACCTAGGCATCCCTAGCTACTCAATTTCTTGTTTTAAGTCAGAACATGAGAGGGTGACACATCTTAGTCATTTTGATCTGGTTCCTCATAGAACTACCTTTCCTGAACTTTACTGTGTCAGGATACCAACATCCCAGATGAGGGACATTGTACCAGTCCCGTTACACTCGTGACAGTATTCACTTGAGACACATAGCTGAAGACAAGGTTTTCTGTATTTGTGATTGCTTTATGGTAGTGAAAGTTGTATGTTCTCATGACCTGCTTTGTTCCGATCCTCTGGGCCACAGAAGTGTGGGTGTGTTTCCCCCCAACTCAGCTGCTAGAAAGCACAGAGATGAAGAGTGGAGACTTTCTCTGACACAAACTCTGTGTTCTAATCACACTGTACAAAGCACATCTTCATTTTTCTTTGCTTTCAATTTTTCCTTTACTCATTTTTTAGGTCTTGTGTCAAAAGGTAAATAATGAATTTATCTTTATTTGCCAACACAAATTCTTTTTAAAACCTGGCAGAGATGTAAAAAAGACTATCTTACCCTACCACCACCACACACATGAACACACGCACCTGGCCTTCCATTAGTTCCAGGTTTTCTGTGGTTTGAAATGTGCAATTCCCCACCCCCACCCACATCTTCCCTTTTTATCCTGTTCTGAACCAAGACCCAATGTCTTCTGACTTGGACCACAACCCTCCTTTCTGTCTACCGTTCCTGAGTATTCTTTTTTTTTTTTTTAAGATTTTATTTATTTATTCATGAGAGACACACACACACACATAGAGAGAGAGAGAGAGGCAGAGACACAGGCAGAGGGAGAAGCAGGCTCCATACAGGGAGCCTGACATGGGACTCAATCCCGGGTCTCCAGGATCACAGCTTGGGCTGAAGGGGCGCTAAACTGCTGAGCCACCAGGGCTGCCCCGTTCCTGAGTATTCTTACAGCTCTGCCCACTGAAATATCCCATCACTGACAGAGGCACTAAAAGATGGACTAAGAAAAGGCCTTTCTGTCCCTGTCACTAGAGTCCAAAATATCCTAACTTCCTTCTCTTTAAATATCCAGCCAAAGGTTCATCTGTCCCTTTCTGAATCTATGTATTTTCCACTCAAACAACACCCTTCAGGTTATACAACTTAATGTCTTATTTAATGCCACTAAACTTAAAAACTACTTAAAATGCACTGGGTATTATATTTTGGCAAACTGAATTAAAATAAAGTATTTTTCTAAAAAAGTACTTAAAATGATGGGGCGCCTGAGTGACTCAGTCAATTAAGCATCGGTCTTCAGCTCAGGTCATGGTCTCGAGATACTGGAATCAAACCCGATGGTGGGGAGCGGGGGGCATTGGGGGGTGATGTCTCTGGTCAGCAAGGAGTCTGCTTCTCCCTCTCCCTCTGCCCCTCCTCCCCACCCCCACTTGTGCACTCTAATAAAAGCTTTAAAAAAAAAACTACTTAAAATTATGAATTTTGTTATGTATTACTTACCATAATTTTTTTTAATCCTAGAACCTACAAAATCTATTTGAAATTAGAATCCATGACCTTTGATTTGCCCTAATTATACCACTTTCAGGATTCAAAGAATGAGCACCGCTATTTGGGAGAACAATTTCAGGCATCCATCAAAATTTCATATGCAAATGCTCTATGAGTCAGCAACTCCCCTTCTAGGAAATCTGTCAAAAAATTCTATAGGGCGCCCGAGTGGCTCAGTCAGTTAAGCGTCTGCCTTCAGCTCAGGTCATGATCCCAGGGTCCTGGGACTGAATGAGCCCCAAGTAGGGAGCCTGCTTCTCCTTCTATATCTGTCCCTCCCCACCACTCATACCCTCTCTAATAAATATATAAAATGTTTTTTAAATCCTATAAAAATATTCCTACATATCTGTGGCACCTAACTGGCTCAGTCAGTGGAACATACAACTCTTGATCACAGGGTGGTGAGTTTGAGTCCCTCACTGGATGTAGAGCTTACTTAAAAAGAAAAAATTCCTACATATACACCAACACATACTACACACGAATGTTTACAACACTGTTTAAAATAAGGGAACCTGGGATCCCTGGGTGGCGCAGTGGTTTGGCGCCTGCCTTTGGCCCAGGGCGCGATCCTGGAGACCCGGGATCGAGTCCCACGTCGGGCTCCCGGTGCATGGAGCCTGCTTCTCCCTCTGCCTGTGTCTCTGCCTCTCTGTCTCTCTCTCTGTGACTATCATAAATAAATAAAAATTTAAAAAAAAAAAAAAAAATAAGGGAACCTTTGGGGAGCCTGAGTGGCTCAGTCGGTTAAGCACCTCTTAGTTTCAATTCAGGTCATGATTTCAGGGTTGTAAGGTCAAGTCCCATGTCAGATTGCATGCTGGCCTAGGAGCCTACAGAGGATTCTCTCTCCCTCTGCCCCCTCCCCTGCTCTCTTTCTCTCAAAAAAAAGGGGGAGGAATCTTTGGAAAAGTTCTACATTCCAATTAAATAAATTACATACATCCACACTGTGAAATATGAAGAAACTGTGTTGAGTGGAAAATACATGTTACATAAAATATGAGTATTAGGAATCTGTAAATATTTTTAAAAAGATAAACGTGGGATCCCTGGGTGGCGCAGCAGTTTGGCGCCTGCCTTTGACCCAGGGCGCGATCCTGGAGACCCGGGATCGAATCCCACGTCAGACTCCCGGTACATGGAGCCTGCTTCTCCCTCTGCCTGTGTCTCTGCCTCTCTCTCTCTCTCTCTCTGTGTGTGACTATCATAAATAAATAAAAATTTATAAAAAAAAAAAGATAAACGTGTGTAGATTTATGGATACAGATGGTCCCCTACTTAACAATGGCTCATATTAAGATTTTTCCACTTCACAGTGATGCAAAAGCAGTATGTACTCAGTAGTAACTTTACGTTGAATTTTGAATTGGGATCTTTTCTGGGCCAGAGATATATACAGCACAATACTCTCTTATGATGCTGGGCAGTGGCAGCTCCCACTCAACCACACAAACACAAGCACTTAGATTGCACTATACTCATGCAATCATTCCTCTTTTTTTTCTAAGATGTTATTTTTAAACCTTCATGAGGCTCAAACTCACAACCTTGAGATCAAGAGTTGTATGCTCTACTGACTGAGCCAGCCAGGCACCCTGCCCATACAACCATCCTATGTTTCACTTTCAATATGATATTTGACAAATGATGAGACTGTTAACATTATATTACAAAATAGGCTTTGTGTTAGATGATTTTGCTCAATAGCAGGCTAATGTAAGTGTTCTGAGCACCTTTATGATGTCCAATAGGTCAGGGGTACCAAAAGCAATTTTGACTTACAAGATTTCCAACTTTACAGTGAGTTTATTGGGACATGCCACCAATCTAAGTGGAAGAAATCTGTGTAGGAATACAAGTATATAAAAGTTAAGAAAGGGACGCCTGGGTGACCCAGTGGGTTAAGTGTCTACCTTCGGCTCAAGTCATGATCTCAGTGTCCTGGGATCGCCCACCCCCTGTTCATGCTCTGCCTCTCAAATAAATAACATAAAATCTTTAAAAAAAAAAAAAAAAAAGTCAAGACAAAAGGAGGGAAGGAGGTGTCCCAGGGAAGAGGATATATTAAAAAAAAAAAAAACTCATTTTTTTACTCTATAGATATCAGCAATGTTCTAATATTTCACAATCATTTATATATCTTCAGTGAATTCAACATTTGAGGCTCCACTAGAAAAATAAAAAGGAGAAGAAAAAGAGATAAAAACAATGTAAATGCCTAAATACAGAAAAGAAATTGACAAATGCCAGAAAGGAAGGAGGCAAGGGGCTGGGCAAAATGGGTAAAGGGAAATGGAAATGGAAGGTAGAGGCTTCTAGGCATGGATTGAATAAAGTCATGGGAACACAATAATATTTTAATAGCCTTGTTTGGTGACAGGTGGTAGCTATACTTGTGAGCACACCATGACATATAGAGATGCTGAATCACTATATGATGTATACCTGAAACTAATGTAATACTATTTATCCATGTACTCAAAAAAAAATTTTTTTAAGATTTTATTTATTCATGAGAGACACAGAGAGACGAGGGGGGCAGAGACATAGGCAGAGACAGTAGCAGGCTCCAGGGAGGGAGCCCAATGTGGGACCCGATCCCAGGACTCCAGGATCACACCCTGGGCTAAAGGCAGATGCTTAACTGCTAAGCCACCCAAGCATCCCAAAAAATTTTTTTACATAATGTGAATCCCTCCTATTCCACTGGACAGGAACAGCCCCTGGGAGAGTGTGTGGTTCTTAGTCAGCCTGTTCTTCTCTTTCCTGCCTAGTGTGTAAGCAACTCACTGTGTGTACAGATGTTTATTTTTCAAAAGAACCTATTATGTTGCTCTACTTCCAAACCCTATCTGTTTTAAGGGTGGTAAGAGCTTTCCAAGAGTGTTTTCATCCCGCTCTCTGACTTTAGAAACTAACTCCCTTGTAAGATGCAACTCTGCCCTAGAATTTTAAATAAAACAGATACCACAGTGGATGGAGAACCCGAAAAAAAAAAAAAAAAAACTAAAAATTCAAAGATATTATCATTCATCTTATCCATACAATTCACAAGTTTACATACTAAATTTAAACCTTTTCTCTGCCTTTGCTTTTTCCAGACTAAAAAATTGCAGTGTTGATCCCATTGTCCATTTTGTTTTTTAAAGATTTCATGTATTTATTTGAGAGATAGAGAGTGTATGCACACATGTGTATCCAAGCGATGGGGGGGGGGGGGGGCGGAAGCAGAGGGAGAGGGACCAGCAAACTCCACACTGAGCACAGAGCCTAATTCAGGGCTTGATCTCACGACCCTGAGATCATGACCTGATCCAGAATCGGATGCTTAACCGAATGCACTACCCAGGCACCCTCCATTGTCAATTTTAGACAGGAGTCTCTGGCCTATCCAAATCCATCATATCTTTTTGTTTGTTTGTTTTTTAAGGAGTGGGCTGGCAACTAGAATTGCATTAAGTGTTCCAAGTGTAGCCACAGAATACCTTTGTGTGACGGGCAGAGTTCTTCTGATCCACTTCCAGGGCATATCCTAGAGTATCTGTACTTTTGTTGGTATTTAGAACAAAGCATCACCCCTAAGGTGTCTCATTGCCAATATCTGCTTTTGCATGATCGATGCCTGGCTAAAGTTGCAGAAGCCATGTACATTTCTCTCTTCTCCTGGTATCGCTAGAAAAATTTTATCCACACCAACTGCCAAACAGAGCCTATTTTTCTCTCATTGAGAATCAACAAATACTGTTTAATTAGTATCCCCTAATAAGGTAGTTGGTAAATAACTATTAACTGAATGCAGGATAAAGGCCTACTTGCTAATTTAAGAAACCAGGTTACAAGACCAAAATTCCCTTCCCCTTTCCTCTTCACCCCAGGCATATGATTAACTCATAATTTCACTTGCCTTATTATAGAAAGAATCTGGCATGGCTCAGTAGGTCAGAAGCCTATGCTCCAGGCTTTCTTAACTCCATTACTACTTACAGGCAGAAGAGAAGAAGGATGGCAAAACTCAAATGAACATTGCTGAGAATTGAGCAACCAAGATAGTAAAGGAAAAGAGATCAACACTTGTCTCTAATCACATATCCACACACTACATCACTTATATACATCCTCCTTATGCTTTATAACAGATTATTAAGAGAACAGAAAGAGAGAACTGATATTTACTGAGTGGCTACCAGGTGAGCTACAAAATGCTAAAGGTGATGTTCTTTTTTTTAAAGATTGTATTTATTCATTAGAGACACAGAGAGAGAGGCAGAGACATAGGCAGAGGGAGAAGCAGGCTCCCTGATCCCAGGATCCCGGGATCAGAACTTGAGCCGAAGGCAGACGCTCAACCACTGAGCCACCCACGTGCCCCTAAAGGTAATATTCTAAAGGTAATGTTCTAAATCCTTACCTTGGTTCATAGAAGTATCCCCTCTCCTCCTCCAGAGGAAACTGTGGACTCTCTTAACTGGGAAACTTGGGTAACAGAACTGAGCAAATGCACTTTAGGCCCTTCTGGGTTCTCTTTTTAAACAGGATATACATATACTCTGTTACTCTAGAAAATAAAGCCCTACCCTTGGAGATGTGTACAAAGAGCATGGGGCAGGAAAGCCTGAAGGACCTGATTTAAAGGTTCAAATCAGGGGGAGGATATTAAAAATCCCAAACAGAAACACATTACAAACCCATGTTCCCAAAGTCAGCTTTGCTAGTAATAAACCTCATGTTCGGGTTTCCACCTGTTTACCTATTGCTCTTACCCCTTGATTTTAAAGGAAGGAGGAAAAGAGCAGCGTCATTAAAAGCGGTGTCATTAATTTGCAATCCTAAGGGGGTTTGCTGAAAACTGAAAGTTAGTGGTAGAACCAAATTTTTAAAAGAATTCTGGGGGGAACCTGGGTGGCTCAGCAGTTTAGCGCCTGCCTTTGGCCCAGGGCGCGATCCTGGAGTCCCAGGATAGAGTTCTGCATCGGGCTCCTGGCGTGGAGCCTGCTACTCCCTCCTCCTGTGTCTCTGCCTCTCTCTCTTTTTCTCTCTCATGAATAAAAAAATCTTAAAAAAAAAAATTCTGATTCCACATTTCCGCACTTGCCTCATCAGCACTTCATAACAGAAGAAAATCAATTATGCTACCAACCTGACAAACAAACTTGACATCTGGTGAGGACCTATTGAAAGGTTTCGGGAATACATAGAAGTTAAATGACTTTGTTATATACCTGCGGGAAAGAAGACAAAAGGAGACTTAGTGGGTTACACGACTCCATGAAAAAAGAAATCTGCTGCTTGTTAAAACAACCTACTTTGAATCTGTGTAGTCATACTTAAAAGTGCAAAGGCCAAACTGAAACAGCAAAAAGTCCATGGAATGCTGGAAAAGGGAAACAAAACACCGTCAAATGAGTGTTGTATATTCGACGTGAGCATCAGTACTCTCAATCAGGTGGGCTTTCTAACTACTCAATTTGACTTTTAACAGAATACTTTCGATTACAACAGATTACACATTGCTTATCAGAAGCATTATTAATTTACATATGCTTCTTAATTCCTTTCCCAATTAAGCACCTATCTACCAACCAAGAGCAAGAGCATCATCTTAGGCCTATTTCCAAATGATTAAAATAACCCCCTTGTATTTCCTACAAATCAAATTAACACTGAAAATACTAAACCTTCCCCAAAATGTTTTCCAGCAAACAATTATTTTTGCTGTTATTTTTAACATCACTAAAATACATCTCATAGGTGGGGTAGAGAATTTAACATGCAAGTTTCATGATGACATTTCTTTATAATTCAATGTAAGGAAGACCAATATGGGGGAAAAAAAGATGTTTGAACACATCCACTTACCTTTTTAAGCTTCTGATACCTTTCTTCTGGAGTGTCAAAACCATTTGTTAGTGCAGTGACTGAAGGTCCATCACTGATTCCTAATTTTAAGAAAAAAAGGTCAGTCCACTATTCAACAGCACATAATTTCCTGTTCTTATGAATTAAGATTAATCGGAAGTGCTCCTTACTTTACTTTTCCAAAATGAGAATTAATTTCACTGGCCACCAAGCTCAACACCGTAATAATGAATTTAGAGATGAGAATGCTTTAATTTGATCATATGCAGTACTACTGTCTAAAATAGGTTTCAAGGGTGCCTGGGTGGCTCAGTAGGTTAAGTGTCTGCCTTTGGCTCAGATCATGATTCTGGAGTACCACTCAGTGGGGACTCTGCTTCTCCCTCTGTCCCTCCCCCAGCTTGTGTGTGCGCACGCATGCACTCTCTTAAATAAATATTTTCTAAAAATTAATAAAATAACTTTTAAAACACAATAATGATTTAAGAAAGCAATCTGTAGGGCAGCCCCGGTGGCTTAGCGGTTTAGCGCCACCTTTGGCCTAGGGCATGATCCTGGGGACCCAGGATCCAGTCTCACATTGGGCTCCTTGAAAGCCTGCTTCTCTCTCTCTCTCTCTCTCTCTCTCTCTCTCTCTCTCTGTGTGTGTCTCTAATAAATAAATAAATCTTTAAAAAAAAAAAAAGCAAGCAGTCTGTAGGATTAAATAAGTTTTGTTGCTTTCTAAAGGATTAACGCGTAGTCAGACATCCAGCAATGTTGAAGTATATTATTGTTAGAATATCAGTCTTGATCAACAGTTTGTAGTAATATCTATACAACAAAGAAATTTTGAAGGTCACAGAGAAAAATGATTTCTGGTGAAAACTCAGCTTCCTAGGGAACTGACTCCAACTAGAAACCTCAGGTTTAACAGTGAGTATCATATTTACCCGAGCACAGATTCCTTCAGAAATGGGTTAAATTTTTAAACACATAAAGTCAGGTAGCAAAAGTGCGTACCTGCACCAATTGTTCATAATGACTTCAACAACTCAGAAATTAGTCCTCTATCCCCAAAGGGGGGGGGGGGCTTTGCAATTTTAAGTGTTGATAATTAACACACACACACACACACACACACATTCATGCTGAGGTAGGCAATAAACACTTCCACCAATGCATAAAGGAATACCTTCATTTATCTATGAGAGCCTGATCCTAAAGTCAAGTCACAAGGGAAAAACACTGTATGATTCCACTTACAGGAAGGGCCTAGAGTAGTCAAATTCATAGATACAGAAAGAATAGCTGCTGGCTGCTGGAGGCAGTAGGGAGGGGAAAATGGGGAGAATTACTGTCCAATTAGTACAGAGCTTCAGTTCAGGAAAATGTTAAAGTCCTGGAGATGGATGCAAGACGAGCTGAATGTGCTTAATGCCAACGCATTATGAAATCCATTTCAAGATGGTTAAAAAAGTAAATTTTATCTCATGTGTATTTTACCATACACACACACACACACACACACACACACACAGAGCCTGACCTCAATCCTACCACGTGCATGTCAAACAACTTTTAAGCTGCGCCCAAATCAAGATCTCGATCTGCAACCCTCGTGGAGCTTCAACAATCCCAGAGCCACCGCACCTCTTCCAGGCCTAAACGGAGAGTCCTACAACGCCCAAGGCCACAAACAAGGAGGAGTGGCCAGCAGGCACGGGGTCTGACCAACGGGAAGAAGAGCCTTGGCTGCGCATTGCTAGCTCCTGGCTTACAAGCGAGGGATACCTGAAAACTCCCCATCGATGGCGAAGAAGTCGGCCTCCTCTATGGCCTCGTACACTTTGTGAAGGTTACTCTTAAAATCTGTGAAGAAACCGAGAAGAGGCTCAGAACCGGTGGCCTGGCTTCCTGCCCAAGAGCTCCTAACGGGAGAGGAAGGAAGGGCTGGGGAGACTCTGAGACCTCGGGCGGGAGGAGGGCAAGGCGGAGAGTATGAAGTCCCCGAGGGGCGCACGACTAGAGGGGGGCAGGTTCCCGGTGGGTGTACCGGGCCACAGGAGGGCACATGGGGGTGGGTGCTCTCAGGCCACAGAGGGGAGGGGGGACGCCCGGGCAGGAGGGCCCGGGACCGGGACAGAGAGGGGCAGGCCCCTCCCCCAGAAAAAGCTCACAGACTTAAGGGGAGGCAAACCCCTAAGGGGCTGCCCCAGCCCCAAGGCAAGGCCCCGCCAAGCAAACCGGCCCCGGCCTGGGCCTAGCAGGCCGGGTGACGGGGGTCCGTGGGGCTGGGGGAGGTGCACGCAGGACACGCACTGCTCCTGATTATCTCCATTCTGCAGAGTGGCCAGAACCGCGGCCCCGCCCGGGGCCCGCCTCAGCCGTTCTACTCGCAAAGTTCCGCGGGGACCGCAGCAGCAGGCAGCGGAGGTGGCGGCGGCGGAGACCGCGGCGGCGACTTCCGGAAACAGCGCGCGCCGGCGCGCGTCACGTGAGCCTGCGTCACGGCGGGGGCGGGGCCGAGCGGGGCCCTGTCCCCTCCTTCCAGGGACGGGGGAGGGGCGTGGCCATGGGCATCCCCGAGGCGTGGTCTATCTCGCCTGCGAGGCCGGGCGTAGGAGACAGTCCCTTCGGAAGAAGTGTGTTGGTGTCTTAACCCCCGGTGAGGGAGGGAGCACGTAGTCCCTGGCGACGTTATGTGCCTCACATAAAGTGAGGAAGAGGAGGCAAGGTCCCTGCCCCGTTGGAGCTTCCCTTGGGATGGAAGGGGAAAGGCAGGCAGGAATCAAACTCGCCACTTGGAAATGCAATCAGCGCTGTGAAGAGGAGGCTGGTGCTACAATAAAAATAATGGGAGAGGGGGCAGCCCGGGTGACTCAGCGGTTTAGCACCGCCTTCAGCCCAGGATCCTGGAGACCAGGATCGAGCCCCGCGTCGGGCTCCCTGCATGGAGCCTGCTTCTCCCTCTGCCTGTGTCTCTGCCTCTCTCTCTCTCTCTCTGCCTCTCTCTCTCTCTCTCTCTCTCTCTCTCTCTCTCTCTGTCTCATGAATAAATAAATAGTATCTTTAATAATAATGGGAGGGGAGGAAAAAAGAAGAATAGGAGGGAGAGCTATTTAAGAGAGGCAAAGACATAGGCAGAGAAGTAGGCTCCCTGCGGGGAACCTGATGCAGGACTCCATCCCAGGACCCCAGGATCATGACCTGAGCCAAAGGCAGATGCTCAACCACTGAGCCTTGGAGGTGCCCCCCGCCCCCCAAAGCTGAGACCTTTATCTGCTGCCCTAGTCAATGGGACTGGCGAATGAAAACAGAGGAGATCTTGCTGGTTAGGCTGATTGGGAGTATACCATTGAATCTCAGAGCCCACAATGGTGTTGATACACAGTAGATGCTCAATAAACCTAGGCTGAGTGCATGAATTCACTTTCATCTTTCACAAAAGCCGACTCTGAAGTTGATTGGAGGACCTGCTTTCCATGGCTAGGTCGACCATTGATTGGGTCTGGAGGTATTCAACCTTCCTAAATCTCAATTTTCTCATTCATTAAATAGGGTTGAAGATAAGTGGTGATAATGTCTGTGAATTATAGAGTACTGTATAAATAAATGTAGATATGATTGGAGTTTTGACTTGTCACAATTCCCCTGCATTCACATCTCTTAGTTTGAGATATAGTGTGTAAAAAAATTTTGCATGTTTTTTTGAAAAAAATAATCGTTTTCCCCAAAAAGGAAGTATTAAGTATTCTAAAGCACACACAAAAGGGTCTGGACATGTTTTCCCCACCAATTCCCTCCACAAGTTCATTTCTCTGGCCTTATTCAATAGAAATTTCCATATAGGTAATTATGTTCACTATCCCCAGTGTGAACAGCAGAGACTAAGTGTGAATTCTAGAGTTCAGCTGGAACGGGAAGGAAAAAAAAAATACGTTAGGTAGTCAAACTTCAGGTTTGAAATATCTCTCTGCCTTCTCGTCTCAGCTTAAAAAGTCCAATACAGAGACTACTAGACACATATGGCCACTTAAATTTAAATTTCAAGTAATTTAAATAATTGTAAGTAATTTAAAACCTAAGTAATTTAAATGAATATCAAAACTTACTACAAAGCTATAGTAATCAAAACAGGGTGGTATTGGCATAAAAGAAAGACCTAGAAACCAATGAAATAGGGATCCCTGGGTGGCGCAGCAGTTTGGCGCCTGCCTTTGGCCCAGGGCACGATCCTGGAGACCCGGGATCGAATCCCACGTCGGGCTCCCGGTGCATGGAGCCTGCTTCTCCCTCTGCCTGTGTCTCTGCCTCTCTCTCTCTCACTGTGTGCCCATCATAAATAAATAAAAAAAAAAAAAAAGAAACCAATGAAATAGAGACCTCCAAAATAAACCCTTGCATATATGAACATATGATTTACAAGTATGCGGAGATTATTCAATTCAAAAAGAACAGTCTTTTCAATAATAGTTTTGGGAACACTGGATATCCATATGCAAAGAATGAAGTTAGAGCCTTACTTTATACTATTTAAAAATTAACTCAATATAGATCAAACATCTAAATATAAGAGGTGAAACTATAAAATTGTTAGTATAAAACATAACACAAAAACTTCATGACATTAGAGTTGCAATGATTTTTTTTCTCAAATATAATGCCCAAAACACAGGCAACAAAAGAAAAAGTAGATGAATGGGCCTACTGCAAAACTGAAAATATTTGGGAATGAAAGGATTCTATCAACAAAGTAAAAAGTCAACCCATGGAATAGAAAAAAACACCCACAAATAATATATCTGATGAGGGATTAACATCATTAATATATAAAGATCTCCACAAAATAAAAGAACTCCATTATTCAATGACAAAGAAAATCTGATTAAAAAATAGACAAAGGACTTGTATAAACATTTCCCCAGAGAAGACATACAAATGACCAATAAGCACATGAAACGATGCTCCATATCACTAACACAAATCCAAACCATAATGAGATACCCTTTCACATCCCTTAGTTAAGAAATGTAACTAAGGTCACTTAAGCACCTGCCCTAGGCTCAGATCATGGTCCCAGAGTTCTGGGATCAGTCCTTGAGTCAGGCTCTCTGCTCTAGCAGGGAGCCTGCTTCTCCCTCTCCCTCTGCCTGCTGCTCCACCTGCTTGTGTGGGCTCTCTGTCTCCATCAAATAAATAGATAAATAAATTAATTAATTAATTAACTTTTTATTTTTTTAATTTTTATTTATTTATGATAGTCACACAGAGAGAGAGAGAGAGAGAGAGGCAGAGACATAGGCAGAGGGAGAAGCAGGCTCCATGCACCAGGAGCCCGATGTGGGATTCGATCCTGGGTCTCCAGGATCGCGCCCTGGGCCAAAGGCTGGCGCCAAACCGCTGTGCCACCCAGGGAACCCTTAATTAACTTTTTTAAAAAAGAAGTTGAAATCATGTGTGTTGTTGTGTGCTGCTGGTGGGAAGGTAAAAATGGCGTGGCCACTGTGGAAAACAGCATGGGGATTCCTAAAAAATTTAAAATAGAATTTTCAGGGATCCCAGGGGGGCTTAGTGGTTGAGCACCTGCCTTCAGCCCGGGGCATGATCCTGGAGTCCTAGAATCGAGTTCCACATCAGGCTCCCAGCAGGGAGCCTACTTCTCCCTCTGCTTGTCTGCCGTTCTCTGTATCTCTCGTGAATAAATAAAAAAATAAAATCTTTTTTTAAAAAGACAAATACAATGTGATTCCACTCATATAGGGTGCCTAGAATAGTCAGATTCGCTGAAAGAAGACTTAGTGGTTCCCAGAGGCTAGAGAAGAAGGTGGGGGTGGGTGGGGAGGACAGGTTGGAGTTGTTTAACAGGTATGGAGTCTCAGTATGGAAAGGTGAAAAAGTCCTGGAGATGGACTCTAGTGAAAATTGCACAACAATGTGCATGTATTGAATGCCACTGGACTGTACAGACTGTTTTGTGTTCTTTAGAATACTTAATACTTCCTTTGGGGGACTGTACACTTAAAAAATGGCTAAAATGGTAAATTTTGTTATGTATCTTTAACCACAGACACACACACACACACACACACACACACACACACACTGACACCAAGTTCCAAATTTTTCTCTGGGAAAAAAAAAAAAGTTGACACACTCCCTACACTAGCCCAGAACCAATCTTTTAATTCTTTGCCAATTTGATATGTGTGTGGGGGGCGGGGGAGGAGGGAATGTCATCCCAAATGATCAGTTTAACAAACCTCCAGGCCAGTGGTTTATTTATTTATTCATTTATTATTTTTTTCTGGGGCCAGTGGTTTTAAACCAGATAATCAGGGACGCCTGGATAGCCCCCCCGGGGGGGGGGCGGGGAGAGAAAGGAGGGAATGTCATCCCAAATGATCAGTTTAACAAACCTCCAGGCCAGTGGTTTTATTTATTTTATTTTTATTTTTATTTTTTCTGGGGCCAGTGGTTTTAAACCAGGTAATCAGGGACGCCTAGATGGCCCAGGGCATGATCCCAGGGGTCCTGGGATCGAGTCCCACATCAGGCCCCCACAGGGAGCCTGCTTCTCCCTCTGCCTATGTCTCTCCTTCTCTCTGCTTCTCAGGAATAAATAAGATCTTTTAAAACACACACACACACACACACAATCTATTCTCAAGAGACCAAGACACTGGGAGAAAAACATGGTGATAAAGTCATTTTAATTCCAGTTCTTAATACTGCAAATAGAACTTCAGCCAAGGTCCTGGGATTTTCTGCCTACCATACGAAGGCAAAAAACAAAAAGACAAACAAAAAAAAAAAACTAACAAAAAAAAAAAAAACGGGCACTACAGTGCGGTCTTATAATATTTAATTTCTGGAGGAAGCTGTTTCCTCCAGACACAGAAACAGGCTCCCGGGACGACCCGAACGTGACACCCGCCTCGCCCTCGGGCTGGAACAGCGCAGCCCCAGCCCTGGAAAGGGCGGGATGGGAGTGGCACGCATGCGCCCAAGCCCGGGTCCGGGGAGTGGCCGCTCTAGGCGGCGGGGAGGTCGCGGGGTTGAGCGGGCCGGGCGGCGGGCGCGGCTTCTCTATGGTCGCGGGCCGGGGGCACGCTCCTCCGCAGTGAGGCCTCGCTCACTTCCGGAAGTGGAGCGGCCTCCTTCTGCTCCGCTTCCGCGGGGGTCCGGGAGGCGGCTGGCGGCCGGGTGGGCCCGGAAGGAGTGCGGTGGTAAGCGCCGGCGTGGCGGGGAGGCCCGGGCTGGGTATCCGGGCGGCGGGGAGGGACGGGTCGGAGAGGGTGCGCGGGGCTCCAGGCAGGCCGGGGGCCCGAGCGGCGCCGTCCGGGCCGCGGGGCGCGGACCCCCCGGGCGGCCGCTCTTCCGCCCGCGTCCTTGCCCGGCGGGTCTCGCCTGCGTGCCCTCGGGGGTCAGGCTCAGCTGGCCGCTCCGGGACCTCCCCGGGGCGGGAGGGAGGGGGCATCGCTTCCTTGCACCTGGGCGGGCGGGCGGTGCGGGGGAGGGGGACGAAGAGACGCCCGCCGCGCGGGAGCCGCAGCCGCAGCCGCAGCCGCAGCCGCAGCCGCAGCCGCAGCCGCAGCCTTGGGCGGCGCGTCCAGAATCCATCAGGCCCCTGATAACCTGGGCTTCGGGTCCGACCGGCGAGGCAGTTCCTGCCCGAAAGCGGAACGATTGCTCCCGTTATCAAACAGGGTAACGGACGCGCACAAAAGGCGACAGAGAAACCGCAAAAAAAGTCGCGCTGCGTTTCGGCGAGAACCCAGCTGCTCTGATTCCGCGGCTCCTAAGGGGAACTTGTGCATAAAGGGAGTTTTCTTTGAAGAAAGAAAAAAACAAAAAAAAGGGTAACCGAGAATCGGGTTGCGTCTTAACTGAGGATCTTTAGCCGGTCGCTGGGCGGCCACCCTCCCCCCCCCCCGCCCCCCAACTTTGATGGAGAAGAGAAAGAGCCCAGACGCTGTCATGCCCTCAGCTGTCGCCGTTGGGTCCTCCCTGCTATAGCCCATTGGTCGGTCCTTTGGAGGGTGGTCTTGATGTCACCCTCGGAAGAAGCTCTTTCCTCTCTCCTCCAGGCACAGCCCCGAGCCGGCGGCTCAGGGTGCACGTGTGAGTTTAGGTGGTTCGGTTTGTTCTTGTCAAAGCTGTTTGGTAAACAGCCAGTCTGGGTGTCAGATGTGTTCTGCGTTTCTCTGCCTGTCTGCATAGACGTGCTGGAAAGACTTCGTGCCCTCCTGCTTGGCGCTGACCTTACGTAACCGGCACTCCGTAAGTGCCAACTGTTAATACATCTGTTGTTGTCCTCTAGGCTCTCTTGAGTACCTGTGGATAGAGTTTACATCTAAACCTCCTTCAAGGTAGATATTATTATTATCTTGGACTTAAGAATGGGGAAGAGGAGGGGATCCCTGGGTGGCGCAGCGGTTTGGCGCCTGCCTTTGGCCCAGGGCGTGATCCTGGAGACCCGGGATCGAGTCCCACATCAGGCTCCCGGTGCATGGAGCCTGCCTCTCCCTCTGCCTGTGTCTCTGTCTCTCTCTCTCTATGACTGTCGTAAATAAATAAATAAAAAAAAAGAATGGGGAAGAGGAGACCCGGGGAGAATAACTGCGACCTGTTTGGAACTCACTTCTCTCTGTTCCTAACAACTGTTTTGAGTATACAAGGCTCTCCTGGGAAATTACAGTCCAGGAGATGAGGAAAGACGCACAAATCAAAGTTACATGAATGCACAGAGGCAGGAAGGGCTAATTTGATTTAAAGGTTTTATTTATCCATGAGAGACACACAGAGAGAGGCAGAGACACAGGCAGGGGGAGAAGCAGGCTCCCTGCAGAGAACCTGATGCTCAGCTGGATCCCAGGACCCCAGGATCACACCCTGAGCAGAAGGCAGATGCCCAACCCCTGAGCCACCCATGCGTCTTGAGGATTTGGATCTTGTCAGTTGAATACTTTTGACCCAGTGAAGGTGTGGAGCTGCATTACAGATGACTGGAACAGTGTGTTACAGAAAAATGGACCAAGGAGCAGGAATTAAGAGATGGGACCAAAGTGTCATTAGTAACTAAAGAAGTAGGAGATAATTATAATAATAGTATTAGCTAGCATTCATGTTGCACTTATGTGCTGGGCACTATTCTGAGTGTGGTGCATCTATTCATTTACTCCTATCAACACCCTTATCAGTAATATTAATATCCCCGTTTTATAGTTGAGGACACGGACACGGAGGCAGAGATTAAGACCTCAGACTTGCCTGAGGTCACACCATGAATTGGTAGAGCTGGGATTTGAAATCAGTCTTTCTGGCTCCAGACTTTCTACTACTCTACTTAAAAATTTGTATTGGGGCTCCTGGCTGGCTCAGTCCATAGGACATGGGACTCATGATTTCAGGGTCATGAAGTCTAGCCCCACTATGGGCATATAGCCTACTTTAGGGGGGAAAAAAAAGCCTCATTAAAAAGTTGTGTTGATTTTTTAGCATTCCATAAAGATTCTTAAATGACAAGCTTACAATTATGGGCTTTAATTTCTCATGGTCAAGAAGGTTTTGAGCAAAGGAAACATTTGATTGGAATTTTGCTCCAGGAGGATGATTCAGACATTGGAGAGAGGAGAGTTTGGAGAGAAGAGGAAATGATGTTGGAAGTGTTATTTAAACTTTATTGTGCTCACACCGTACCCGTACCTTGTCTGAAACATATTTAGGTATATACATTTATTTATTAGTATGCAACAGCTCTCTAGTCCCCAAACGTCTGTATGCGCAAGCATCTCCTAAGGGCTTTGTTTATTTATTTTTTTAAGATTTTATTTATTCACAAGAGAGAGGCAGAGACACAGGCAGAGGGAGAAGCGGGCTCCATGCAGGGAGCCCAACGTGGGACTCGATCCCGGGTCTCCAGGATCAGGCCCTGGCCTGAAGGCAGCGCTAAACTGCTGAGCCACCCGGGCTGCCCAAGGGGTTTGTTTAAAATGTACATTCCTGGGCCTCTCTCTCTCAGATATCCTTATTCAGGTTCACCAACCTTGCAGGTGATTCTGTCAGAGATTCTAAAGAAATTACTACAATAGGGGGTCAGATATACGTTGATTTGATTTTCATCTGCAAATATCCAGAACCCATCTTTGTGCCAACTACTTCAGGTACAATAATAGAACTCCGTGGCTTGATACCTGATCTAAAAGAGCTCAGAATTTGATTGGAGAGGGAAAGACAACTCAAACTGATAACTGAAGTCTGCTTACTGACCAGTATTTTTAATCACAAGTTACTGACATCTACAGCATTTAGTACAGGATAGGTCACTGAGCATATGCCACGTAACAGAAACAAAATCAGTCTTGGAGAGCCAGAACAGCCTTCTGTGTGTTGTTCTGCCCAGTACCTCTCACCAGCAGTAAATCATGCCTCAAAGTTCAGGCAGCCAGTCAACCTCTTGTGAGTTAGCTAGCTACCTTTGCCCTGGTAATTTCTGACTCCTTCCAGAAAGAAAATCTGTTTGGATAAGAGTTGATATGGTAAGAGCCCGGAAATGCTTCTCTTGTATTAATGAAAGCCAGTGTCTGCCACCTACAAGAAATACACATAATATTCTCTTTAATATGTATGTGTGTATATATATATATACGTGTGTGTGTGTGTGTGTATATATATATATATATTCTCTTTTTATTGCTATTTCTTACCCTTGCCTTGCTTACATGTGGGCACATTTCTTTGTATCTCATAGTCACTAGAAGTGTGCAGTCATTCTTTGGATGTTTAAAATGTCTGTAGTAATTCTACTAGTGTATATAGTGGTGTCTCCAGAAGTAGGCCTGGGGTGGCAGAAATAGGCACCCCGTGTCTTTTTTTTTTTTTTTTAGGTTTGTTTGTTTAATTATTTATTCATTTACGTAATCTCTGTTACTTAATCTCAGTGTGGGGCTCAAACTCATGACCCTGAGATTAAAAGTTGCATCTCTTCCTACTGGGCCAGCCAGGTGCCCCTCTCACCCCTATTTCTATTGTGACTGCTTCTGCTTATTTATCTCATGGAACCCCATGCTCCCCCTAACAGCCACAAGCTGGAGTTCATGTTCCAAAACGCAGTGTTCTCACATCCTAGTTTATTTTCTCCAGTTTGGACTTCGCAACTTTCTAATAGCATAAAGGAGCAAATTAGTCCTTCAAACCATTAGCTATTACTGATTGTTATTGGGATAATATAGAGTTACGAGGTCACATTTTATTGAGACCATGATTCAGTACCTGACTCTGCCCTATATAAATGAGGTCTCCATTTTCTCATCTGTAAAATGGAGTGAGAGTAATAATTATCTCATAGAGTTGCGTTTCACATTATAAGGACTCAGTAAATATTAGCAATGGTCATTATTCTTTGTTGTCGTGTAATTTGTAATGACAAGGAATAAATAGCCTATTTAAAGGCCCATAGGAAGCCAAAACTTCTGTATTCTTGCAGTGAAACATCTTTGCTAAGTAATGATTGAGATTATATTTTCAGGCTGGAATCCCAATAAATTAGTCTTCCAAAGGATTATTCCTAAAATGCTGGCATGTACTCTTGTCACAGTAAACATTTTGTTGAATAGAGGTAGAACTGTAATTCGATGCCACTGAACAAAGCACTTTGAAGATTATGACTTCTAAAGAGTTATCCGTCATTACATGACATCTTTATAAGGTAAGGTATAAAAATCCTCCACTGAGGGACACCTGGGTGGCTCAGCGGTTGAGCACCCACCTTCAGCTCATGGCGTGATCCCGGAGTTCCAGATAGAGTCCCACATCGGGCTCCCTGCAGGGAGCCTGCTTCTCCCTCTGCCGGTGTCTCTGCTTCTCTCTGTGTGTCTCTCATGAATAAATAAATAAATAATCTTTTTAAAAAATTCTCCACTTAAACTCAGAATTAATGTATTCCTCTTTGATAAACTCAGTGCAAATTATTGTATTAATTGCTCTTGGGGTTACTGAGGCATCGAACAGGTGACAGCAGTGCTGCAACCTCCTTCCAGAGAGTAGTCGGTTAGATGAACCCACAGATAAGTAGTTGATCAAGTCAAACAATTTTCCTTTCAAGGGAGCAGTAGCCAAGTTCCTTGCAAGTTCTTTAATCACACAGAATAATTGGGAGATTGTATCTCAGCCCTTTTTCTTCCTTCATAGATTTTTCAGATAACTATAGCATGTCAGTTAGGTATTTCTTTTGGGAAACCTAGAAAAGGTTCCAGTGATAGAGATCTTGAAATTGCCCAAGTCATCAGACTGTGATAATTGTTACTATCAGTTGTGCCAACAGACCAAACCCTATGAATGTTGAAGAAGAAATCAACTGTACAGTGTGTTCATGTTATATTTTATGTATTTGTGTTTTCCAAAGCTTTATGCCATTTCTTGACACTGAAATTTTAGAGATGGTATTTTCCTCAGGAAGTAAAATCTCTCCAGGTGTTTTAAAAGTTACATTGGTGAGATATCAGAACAAATTGTTGATTATATGCCATGAGCATGAGAACCTTTGGGATTCCTCACTTACACGGTTGGGAAAGTGTCAGACATATGGACCATGAAGTGGAAGAGGAGACCACATTTACTGAACGCTTCCTATGTGCTAGTGCTTACATGTGTCTCTTTAATGCTCATGTGAGGTAGGTGGTAGGAACCCCATTCCTTTCTATGTTAATGGGAGACTTGGCGAGAGTGACTAATTTGCCCACAGTCTCATGGCTAATAAACAGTGAAGCTGGGACTCAAAAACTGTCTGGTGATTGTAAAACTGAGGTGTACATACCATTGTTATATGGTGCAAATAAACATCGGAAAAAATTATACTCTTTCTCAGGGCCAGGAAGTAAATAACTCCAAAATATTAAAGCAGGTGTCGCAAAGGCCTATACTAAATATTTGATATATGGAAGAGCCCACAAACTCTCACTTAATTCATTTTGACCTGGGTCTCTGGATATAATAAGACAAAGCCAACTTAGAATTTTTAGACTTGCTCTCAGATCCATCCAGAGCCTTTCACACATGGAACCTACTGAACATGGATATCTGGCCTCTGAAGGTAAAAGAAAATAGAAGCAGTAATTTAGAAAACTTTTTGGAAGACCTTATAGGCAATCACTTTCTCAGCAATGATTGTAAACAACCTGCCTGCAAATTAAGGGACAGGAAAACTCTAAGCTGACACAACTAAAGCATGCTAGCCCAAGACCAGGTAACCCAGAAGCATCATACACTCCTCAGTAGACTCTGAAGGCATCACCTAAGGGAGAGGTTATGAAAACACAAATATTCACACAGATATGCCCGAGGTCAGACAGGAAACAGAAATGAGGAAAAG